ACATATTCACACACACACACACACATTGGATCTTAAACTTGTTGAGGACGTCTCAGCCAAACTGCAACAAAAATGATATTTGATTGTATATATGATGATATATGATAGTGATGAAGGTATTAAAAACATAAAAACACAGCAGTGACACCAACTGTGGGTCTCCCCCTCCAGAGAACAGATACTACTTAAAGTGTTCTATCTGAGGCTGGCTGCAAACATGGCTCTCAATTCCTCTTTCCTGGAATGACTGAAGAAAACAAAACACAGCTACCCACAAAACTCATTCCTGCAAACACAAATGCTGTTGGTGCAATTAATGGCCCATTCACTAACAGGTAGTGGGACAGGCCTTTGGCTGAAAGGTGCAGAAAAACACAGTACATTGACATGATCCAACACGGAACGTGTGCCTTCCCTGGTCCCCACAGCCCTGCCAGCTTCAGGATTCCAGCCCCAGCTCAGTTCCTGCAGCCCCACTGATGATTGGTTTGCATCATTCCCAGCTAGACTAAAACTATGGAAAAAGCAGTTTTACTGGAAGCACCATATGGGCTCAAGCACACAATGCCAGTGGATGCACTGAGGGAAAACTGCCAGAGTTCATCCCCCCAGCCGTGTTTTAGGTACAAATACCAGCCTAGGGATAAACCCCCCCATCCTGCAGCTCCAAACAACAAGCCTGCCTGTCCAGAGACCCACACAACTTCTCCCATGGGAAATCAACCCAAAATTGCTGCAAATACTCCAGTTGTTTGCATAAAGCAAGCCAAATGAACCTCAAAAAGCTCAGATGTACACACAAAAATCTCTGTGCCTCTGCTAGCTCTAGCTCCAGGATAACCATGACCTCCTCTCCCAACAGGAGCACACAAAGTGAAGGTGGAAACAATTTAAGCTCAACTGAAAACAATTTGTATTAGAAAATAAATAAATCAATTGATAAAGAAACCCAACAAAAACCACACAGTGATTCTGAGACAGAACAGTTATATTTTATATGTTTTATTTCTGCGGAGTTTTAGGTTTTAAATACCAGCAGATTTTTTTTTTTTTTCCTGACTCTACACCTGAATTGCAGCTCTCCTTCCTTTTCAGTAAACTTTGGGATAATTTTCACAGTGGACAGTTAATGATGATGAAATTGGAAAGAATTCAAAGTGCAGCTTCTCTGCAAGCATGAGCCTTCCAAACATTAACTTAAGGAACGGAAATAAAATTATTTTGAAAACCACTGATATCTAAAAAACCCAAAATTTTAATTATGTGGTGACCATGACTAAGCAGTTCTTAGAACACATTCTGAATTCCTAGCTGGTAATTTTTTTAAAACCGCAGCTTGGTTTCCAAAGGCAGCACTACTCCGTAACACAGGCTCTGCCTCATGCTCCCAAACACTCTGAACCAACAGCTTTAACTTGTGCACACTTGCACTGAGAGCACAGTGAGTTTTGGGGTTTTCCTTGGCTACATCACAAAATCATTGAATGATTTGGAGGAACCTTAAAGCTCATCCAGTTCCAGCCCCCTACCATGGACAGAGACATCTTTCACTATCTTAGGTTGCTCCAAGCCCCATCCAACCTGGCCTTGAACACTCCCAGAGCAGCAGCCACAGCTTCTCTGGGCACCCTGTGCCAGGGCCTCACAGGGAAAAAATTCTTCCCAATATCCAGTCAAAATCTAACCTCCATTAGTTTGTAGCCATGACGGCTTTTCTGTCACTCCAGGTGCTCTCCAGCTCTCTTAGAGCCCTTCTAGGCACTGGAAGGGGCTCTAAGGCCTCCCCAGAGCCTTCTCTTTTGGTGAACAGCCACGTCCCAGCACATGTCACAGGTGAGACAGCCACCATACACAGACCATCACCACACAATTTCACAAAGCTTCAGCCCATACACAGTAACACCCTGCCTCTTCAGGGGGCTTCAAGTGCCTGCCCACACAGAGTAACACCATGTCACTTCAGAAGGCTGCAAGGGTCTGCCCTGCTTGTCCTTCAGCCCAGCCTTTCCTACCCCTCCTGTTGCTGCAGTGCCCCTGTGTGCCCTCTGTGCCCTTTGGTGGTTGCTCAGTGCCCCTGGGCACTCCATGGCTCATTGCTGTCAGTGCTGCTCACCTGCTTCTCACAGCTGTGCCCACTGGGGATGAGGCTGGGCTGCAGCCCCATCCCAATCCCCACACGGTGTGTGCCACAGCCCGGCCCCATCCCAATCCCCACACGCCGTGTGCCACAGCCCGGCCCCATCCCAATCCCCACACGCCATGTGCCACAGCCCGGCCCCATCCCAATCCCCACACGCCGTGTGCCACAGCCCGGCCCCATCCCAATCCCCACACGCCGTGTGCCACAGCCCGGCCCCATCCCAATCCCCACACGCCATGTGCTACAGCCCGGCCCCATCCCAATCCCCACACGCTGAGTGCTACAGCCCGGCCCCATCCCAATCCCCACACGCTGAGTGCTACACAGACATTGCTCTCCCAGCCTGTCTCCAGAACTGGACTGATGAAATGCAACACCAGTTCCCTGATCCTGAGCCTTACAGCTGCTAGTTCTCTTAGATTTAGATGAACTGCACACAAAAACCTTCTACTCCAGAGCTTCCTGTGCAGTAATCAGCCACAAAAAGATTTCTCCAAGACAAGGAGAAAATGAGAATTGCCTTCTGTACAGAAACCCCACTGCTGTAAATCCCTAAGACAGCAAAGTCACTGTTCCCACCACCAGCTGCTCCAGGGGCAGAGCCGGCTGGACATCCCCACTGGCAACAAGTTCCTACACAACAACACTCACACAATCAATAATAATCTACAGTTATTTCCAGGTCCTGAGTACAGCCATAAGCAAAATTTCAAGTGTTAACCTTTAGGCCCAGATTTTCTTAAAATGATCTTGCAGAACATATATATTTAAAACATCTGTATTTAAAATTATCTATTTACCTAACCTATAAAACTTTACTACAAGCCAGACTGCCATCTGGAGAAAAAAAAACACCTTAAATTCAATTTCAAGTATTCATCAACATTAAAGTCGTAACTCTAAGTCCTTTGAAGATCCTGAGACAAATACTAAATTATAATTATGTAAATATTCAATCAAAATAATTCTATAAACATCAATCAAATATAAGGAAAAAAAAAAAGTAAAATAATAGAAGCAGCTCCCAGAGCAGCAGTACAACTTCCCTGTGCAGGCCTGCTTCCACCTACCCAGCCCAGGCTTTCCAGAGCCCCCAGCCTCCAAAAGCTGGTCTCCTACAAAATTTGGCAGCTGCCAGAGGCTGACTTGTCTGATCTTTTTTGCAGTCACTTGAGATGATATACATGGCTATCCCTCCTTGCTAGGTGACACCGATTTCCAGGGAACTCTTCCTACTTCCTTCCACGTATGAGCTGCACAAAAAGGAACAAGGGATTGAAGGAAGCCAAACAGTTTTTACTGACTCTCAGAAGACAGATATGGATTGCACACAACCCTGGAAAACTTCTTTTTAAAATCCCAGAATTACCAACTCTTCCTCACAAATAACCTGACACAACTCCTTCGTCGAAAGATTTTGGCATGGAACGTATTTCCATTATAGTTTAATGTTAATAGTTCATTCCAACAGCTACAAAACTATGTCTATAATACTATTTAAATATTTTATACATATTTTTGACTTAATTTAAAAAAATAGTTTGAGCTACTACTTTCCTAGTCCTCAAAAAAATTCAGAGACACCAACTTTTGAATGAGTCCCTTAAAAATGTGTATTTCACCTGGGAGCAATAATGACTCCAAGGAAACACACACAGCGTGACCACCTTTGCCCCAGCCCCACAGAAACTCGTTCACACACTCAGCTACAGCCCTAAACAGAACTTCTGCAATGTGACCAAGACAAGGTCCATCCCAAGACTGATGTCCCAGTGCTTGCAGAATCTGACCACATACAACTGAATTCCTTTCTGTTTTGGAATAGGTCAGTCTGCACCTCAGTTGGATGATGACTCCAAGAGTCTTGTTGGGCCTGCAGAGGCCATAGGAGTGCTCTCAGCTTTGATGCGAATCTGACAGGGTGACTGAAGACACCGCAAAGGTGAATTAACCCAGCCCTTCTCTTGCAGCTTCTTCCCCCAGCATCTGGAAAAGGCAGTAACCTCTAGAAGCATCAATTCCCTGAGGGGACCTCTGGGTCATAGACTCTCTTGTCTTCCCAGAGAAATGCTAGCTATTATCCACAGTACCACCCCAAATGTACTGTTTGCACCTCAGTGTCTTCCTCCCAAGACATGAACTCACAGATTTCAACTACTGCACAAGTGATTTTCAGGTCTGATCAGGTTTTGAAGCTGAGAACAGGTTCCTACTCGAGCAGAAATGCCTTATTATTCATGACTGGCCAGAAGTGGATTTACACCGAAGTCTTCAACACCCCAAGGACTTGCTGACCCAGGAGTGCTGGGCCTGAGCTGCTCCTTCTACACAGCAGTGAATCAAACCTCAGTATCTCACTTCCATCTTACATTTTTGCACAAAGCAGAAGTGTCCACACCTTCAGGAAAAACACTTTTTAAAGGAATAGTCAAAACAGATGGACACACATTTGAGAGCAACTTACCTAATTAGGTTCACGATGCCCATCACACATGTAAAGCCCAAAGGCAAGGGAATCTCAGACACAACAATTTGGCTGAAAGCAGATATAACTCACAGGAAATAAGTTTTAAGAAGTGGTTTCTCTGTTACAAGAGCTTCTAGAGGAGAGCAATCAATACCCAACAAGTGATAGGTTTTGGCAACTCAGGCTTGGTGCCCTTAAAATGAGTAGATTTTTTTAAAGCTGTTACATTGCTGTTACAGTTAAGATTGTATTTGGATGAGTTCCTGGGATACACAAATTACCTACTTCTAAACAGGCTTCTGCATGTTATAGATTAAACTTCTTAACTTACAAATAATTATTTTGCTGTTTCCAGTTTACAATGGTAAAAAAATGAAGACTTCACAATGGGTATAAATGGGAGGTAAATGTATTTTTAAAAACAGAATAAAAAGCTGCATGTTAAAAACTGACTCACAGACTAATAAATACATACATCAAAGACATGAAATTTTCAGCAGCTGGTTTTAAAGAGCAAGGAATTGGGAAAAAACTAGCTGTCCTGTCCAGATTCCATTCCGCCTCTGTGATCTATGTACTAAAAATATCTGCAGTTGAAAAACAAGTTAACAGAGGAGTAGAATCAGCTTTGTCACCTATCTTCTTTTTTAAAAATTAAGCTACTTCCTAAAAGTGTGGTGTAAAACCTAGAGAAACTATTAATTTCTTCATGCACTTGATGACATTGAATTAAAAAAGAAATTATTTTAACCCAGAAAAAATGAGTCATTGTACACAGTAAGGACAGCCTTACTGCAAGTTCTCTACAGTAAAAGTATTTCTAGAAATACACCAGAAATTACTTTCCTATAACAAAATATACAATTATGTGTTGCATCATCATTGAGTTTCAATACTTAGGCAAAACAGAAACAGCTACTGTGAAGTTTCAAAACAAAAATCCGAGGAAACCCAACTCCAAAGAGCAGAAAGATGTTTTGACGGCTGTAGAGATGTCAGAAAGCAATGCTGGACACCAGGAATCTCCAGAACAACTCCCCTTCCCAAGTGATGTGCAGTTTGTGAATTAGACTGTGAGAGAAAACTGATCCTGTTCTATGGGCTTCTCCACCCAGGCTCCAAGTCCTGCCTTCAGGAATGCTTTAAACAAACACTCTTTAGCAGTTTGATACTCTGTGGCTCCTTGCTTGGTGTCGTGGTACAGGTTGGGCTTGAGGATCTTTGAGCGCAAGCTGGAGGAAAGCTGTGGGGTTGAGAGACAAGAGAAGGAGAGAGACAAGACCCCATTAAGCCAAACAGTACCAGAGTGAGTTATTTAGACAGCTAATATTAAAATAAGGAAAGGATCTATCAAACAAAATGTTGAGGCCAAAAAGGCACAAATAGACTTCCTGGAAGCTTTATTTCTGAGAGTAAAGAGTGAAACCTCAGCAGTGAAAATGTGATTATCCTTCCAAATAAATTAAAATGCAAAGGCAAGCTCAAAGGAGACAGAATGCTTTGTCTACTCAGCTATAAACTAAGGAATACGCATTTTGGACAGCATCACATTAAAAAGTTAACAAACACATTGCTCTTTTCCATTACTGCATGAAGCAGCAGCTACCTGGCCTCAAGTTGCACCAGCGGAGGTTTAGATTAGATATTAGGAAAAAAAACTTCACCGAAAGGGTTGTAAAGCATTGGAACAGGCTGCCCAGGGAAGTAGCGGGTTCACCATCCCTGGAAACGTTCAAACAATGTGTCAATGTGGTGCTAGAGGACATGGCTTAACGTGAACATGGTGGTGGCGCTACAGTGATGGCTGGACTTGACCATCTTAAGGGTATTTTGCAGCCTTAATAATTCTGTGGCTGTAACACAAGGCTCAGCTTAAAAGAGGCTGAGAAAGTGGCTTCTGGGTAGAGAAAGCACATCTGGGTGTTTCACTGGACTGCAGGAGCGCGCGGGCGGCCCCTGGAGCCGTACCTTGGCATGGATGCGCATCCAGCGGCTGTAGAAGGCGTGCTTACAGAGGCGCGAGGCGCGGCCCATCTCGTCCTTGCCGGTTGTGGCATTAATGACTTCCAGACCAGCGTCTCCCACTGTCCAGTTCACGCTGAAGTTCGGGGCTTTCCCCGGCTGACGGGCTTCTGCGTTGCTGATACCTGAAAGAGAAGTGATGCTTAATGATGGTAATAAATACAAGTGCTTGACTTTTGGTTTTGCTGGGGAGTGAACAGTCTTAGAAGCAGATTTTTTATCTTGAGGGCATTCTCTGCAGATTTCTCACGTTCTCAGAGGTAACAACATGAACATCTCACTCTCATTCTGGCTAAAGTGCTCTCTAGTTCTGTCCCTCCCAGTGGTGCAAGTGTGCACTGCTGCAGAAAGCAGCCTCCTCAGCAGAGGGGACCACGGAGAGCTCTGTGGCAGGAGGTCATGGGGTTCATCTCACTTCCAAATGGATGTGAAGCTATGAACCCTGGAAATGTTCATGGCCAGGCTGGATGGGGCTTGGAGAAACCTTGGATAGTGGAAGGTGTCCCTGCCCATGACAGGGCCAACACAAACCATCCTGTGATTCTACTGAAAGCGAGCCCCATCCTCAGCACCCTCCACAAAGCCAGAACTGGCAGACATTTGGGTCTTCCAGCACAAATCCACTGCGCTCTAGCTGACTCCCCACTTTACTCCCAGAAACAGGGAACACAGGATTCCAAACAGGACTCAAATCACTTTGCTCAGGTGACATCTCAGGTGACATCTTCCAACTATGGCTCTGTCTCCAGGGATGGAGAAGTAAAGCCACCAGAATCCAACCCAAGTGCAAACTGAGTCTGGCTGCCTGCCCGGGGCAGGATTTATTCCCCACAACACCCAAAGATGGACTATACATAAAGAAGGTCACAGCAGCTGCTGCTGTGCACATGTGACTCCTCAGACACTGCAGGGGTGGCAAAACTCTATTTAAGATGTCTCAGTCACCTCACCAGGAGAGAACAAAGCACCAGGGCAATTTGTTCTTTCTAGTAAATGAAAATTACACTTTTACTTTAAGGCAGCTCTTGCCAAGAACCTATTTCAAGTCTACTCCACTGTTAGGCCAGGTCCTACACTTAAAAAAATCTAAAGGATTTGTGGAATTTGAACATAAGCAACACAGCAGGATGCATTTCTGGCTGATATCTGGAACACAATCTAATGAAGCTGGGCACCTGGGAGCACGACTGGCTCACCTGGTTCAGTCTCATGGCACCTCTTGGCCCAGCACTGAGATTGGGCAAGGTCAGAATGACCCAGCAAAATTCAATCTGCTTCCTACCATCAATTCTTCATTTAATAGACAAAGAAACCCTTTGAAATATAAACCACTGAAGCGGTTGTATTTTTACTCTTGGTTTGGATCATCTTGTCACTATGACTGGTAAGAAATAATTAACTGAATAATAACAGAAAATTACCTACTATTCCCCATTTCCTTATAAGCTGAAAAAATTCAGAATTGGTACAAAAGTTGGCTTTACCAAAAGTACTGAGGCAAAAGTGCTAAGAAATTGATGCCACATGACAATTTTTTGTCTTTTTTTCTTCAATTTAATGACATCTATACTATTACATTTTCTTTCATTCCATACACTGTTAAACAAGTACAGGGATCAGACAGAGGTCATCAAGGACTCCAAAACACTTGTTATATCACAACCAGTCCCACAAGCAAATCGAATAAAAATGAGAAAGCTGAGCATGCAGTACGCACTACATTTCCACTGCAATTATAACATTTCTTTCCTTGGTTTTTGATGGATTATTAAATTAAAAAAAAAAACACCAAAACCAACCCAGTTTTAGAATTTCAAATAGATTTCATTAATAACAACCCATTCAGCTGCTCATTGATATGCAAGAATCCTGGAGAGATGTCAAAGGAGTCCCTGATGGTGGATCACAAGTAGCATGGACAGGGAATAAAGGTCATCTCAAAATCAAAGCATTTGATAAAACTTTAGGTGGGTCATATCTTCCCCATCAAAATCTAGCCATGAATATAGCACAATATGCTGAAATTAGAAAATAAATTTAAGATAGAAAATCAAATATTTTACTCTTCTTTGAAAACTAATAGAACTAAAGCTATTTAGAGAACATTGTTCAGAACTTGAGTATTATTACAAAGGAATATAATAAAAGCAAAGGTCACAGTTCTTTGTGCTAGTGCTTCTAGAAATAATAAAGTTTGACAGTTCTTTGAGGAGAGAGCTAAAACAAGCTTCATGAAAAAGGACATAGAAAGCTGAAAAGCACCAATGTAAATGGGAGGATAAGGTACCAAAAGAACAGCCAAATATTAAAAAAAAAAAAAAATCACTTGAAGGACTTATTTTTGTCTACCTTAAAAACAAATTCACTAACACCTGGATAAAGATGATCTCTTTGGGAAGAGTGAACAGAGCTGGAGAGCCTCCAGCTCGGGGTAGACCTGGGATGTGTGGGGGGCGGAAAAAACTGAGGTAGGATCATTGATCACACTAATTATTTTTAAACAGCAGTAAGAGGAGCAATAGCAAAAAGTAGCAGAAAAAGCCTCACATACTGGGTGTCTAGGCAATCAAAAGACAGATGAAATTCCTCACAGATTAATATAAAGCAACATATATTAGGAAAAAACCCAAGGCAATCTTGCACAAGGAGTGCTGGACTTGGAGATCAATATTAGCATTCAGGAATGAGATTTTAGTTTCTAACATTCAGTTCTACCAAAAGGTCAGGTCAGTCAGCAACAGTAATCAAAGTGAATGTCAGGAATTATCAGTGAAGGATCAGGGAAGTGACCAGAATATATGACAGTACATGGACTGGTAATGCTGCTTTACCCTGAATATCAGCTACTGCCCTGGTCTCACTAACACAAAAATGGGTCTGCAAAATGATCCTTTATGTGAAAGGGTCTCTGTGCAAGGAACAACAAAGCAGACTAAGACACTTCAGCTGGCAAAAAGTAGGATTTATGTAGGAAGGAACATCTCAGAGGTAGAGAAAACTGAATGCCATGACCACTGCTTATGGCCTGGATGTCACAGAGCACTGAGGAACATCTAATTGAGCAAATTAGCAGAAAGAAGTTCCTTTGCACAAACCTTGGCATATTCCACAGTCCTCCTTATTCAAGGAGGCTGTGAATGGCAGCAAGTTGAAAGCATTTCAAAAACTGGAACCAGGAATGAACAAATGCAAAGATATATTAAGGATTTCTAAACACAAAGATCTCAGTACCTGACTCGAGCTTCAGCCCAGGTGAACTCCTGCATGCCCACCTCCCACAGTGGCTCCCCCTTAAAGAGTTGGCGCAGGTCACCCAGCAGATGGGCAGTGTGATATTGGCTGGCTTATCCAACCATCCTCACTCTATTGAGATATCAATTTTTTTTTTTTTTTCAGATTATTCTAGAAATTTACAAGATTCAAACCTGTCTTCTCTTCAAGTGGGGTGGTCACCCCTCAGGGAGAGCTCAACTGCCCTCAGTGCTGGGGTGCTAAAGGCACCTTGAAAAGCTAGATCCTGCAAGCAAGGCTTCCAAGAGTCAGCACAGGAGGGAGTTTTTTATGAATAGACAGGTTTCCTGCATCCCTCAGCTGAAAAACATCTGCTCTGGTATGCACTGGAATTGAATATATGGGGATATGTTAGTGGTGGACAGGGCAGTGCTGGGCTCATGGTTGGATTCTATGATCTTGGGGGTCTTTTACAACCTTGATGATTCTATGATTCCATCTGATGGCAAAAGGTTTAAGTAAAAACTCTTATAAACAAAGAAAGATGATGAAAGACAATTTTTAGCAGTACAAACAGTATCTCAAAATAATTTTGACTTAATGCAGGTGCCCCAGCAGACATAGAATTTGTTTTATTAGAGGAAGAAAACCTGTTTTTACAGTACTTTCTCAGCTAAACAGGCAGGACAGTGGGGCAAGACAGGTATTTCTGTTCTAGTTCATTCCCCTGGTGTAAATAAATCTCAGAGGGGTGTGTGTATGATACAAGAAAGAACACAGTACTGGAGACAGGTATTTCTGCCACGCTTCTAGGTAAGAATAGACTGAAAAATATGTGAATCCAGAGCACATGGGCAGCTACACAAATGCCCCAGCTGAATCTATCAGCAGAGGTCAGAATATCAGCTTTCAAGACTGAACCAGTAAAAGAAAATACATCAACATAGTTCTCAGCCCAACCTCCTAAAGAACCTTTCTGTACATTTTTGAGATGTGTATTTTTGTGAAAACTCCACAGCTGAGAACATTTCCGAACTCTCTCTGCTGCACAGCAAGTCCTGGCTCAACTGTTAAAACAGATGGTTCTATTTCATGGGATATAGATGATAGTACCATTGCAGAAAGATGATTTTCAAGACGACAAGGTACCGTTACATGCTGTGAAAAGGATAACAGAAATGCTTCTCACCCTGCCACAAACCTGCTGTCTTGAAGGACTGATAAAAATTCCCCAAAATCAGGCAGAAACAGTCCATACATCAGCTACCATGCCCATAAAACTATTAGATATTTGGTACAGAGGGTTGCAACTGTCACTTACTTGCTAATATAAGGACAAATACGTTATTTAACATTTTTATACATCCTAGTTCAGGGAATCCTTATTACCTTTCTTACCTAAAGAAATGCTCATTGTTCACAATGGTCTTTTCCCCACTCCCTCCCTATTTTTTTTTTTAATTCATGTCAAACTTTAAACACAGTTTAAAATTATGAGCTGTCTTCTTTCCCTGAAAAATAAACACATGCCAAAAGCTAACCTCTACAGAACAAAGCAATAGACACAGTGAGAGGGAGGATGAGATTTCAGTTTTAAAGCTTTCAAAGCATTACTTTAACAAGCCATTTTAGAATTTAAGACAGGTGAGGTGCTGTCTCCATCCATTCTAAGTTGATTATTGACCTAGAAATTGTGAACCAAGTGTGTCTATCTTGGCATAGTGACAGATGAAGGGACTACTCAACAAAAATCTGCAGAGCAAGAGAAGCAACAGTGAGTGCTAATACAGTATTCTACAGGTGGGAGGAGATTTCCCTAAGCCTTCAACTCTCCTCACATCTTCCTAGGACATGCTCCAAACAGCAATGGTGTGAAAACTCACCCCAAGTTTCTTCCGCCAGTTCTTCCCAGATTTTAAAGGTCCTTGCTATGGTATTTCTGACTGGGTATCTGTATTATGTTTGGACCACAGCTTCTCTATTGTAAGCAGCAAGCAGTTTACTCACAGCAACACAGTTTGCAAGGTTTTGAGAACTACAAAATCACAATGCTACTGGAACAGACTTAGTTACCGGCACGGCCTTCTCCATTAGATACTTGCCACTAAGTAAAGGTCTGTTGAGTGTATAAAGAGGTGGTAGGTCTTCTATCTCTGCTATCCTCTGGTATACGGCTCTGGATAGATGATCCCCATGATATAAACTCCCCAAGATGATGCTAGAGAAGTAAATTGGCTCCACAAAGAGGCTAAGTAAGGCTCCTTGAATACCCAATACGTTCCACCTAAGAGGAAGGGAAAAACAAAACAAAACAAAACAAAAAAACACTTTCTTTTTAATGAAACAAGTAACATCTGCCAGACATAACAGCAGTTAATCACAATGGATCAGACTTTCAACCCTTCCTCCTGACTAGCACATGACCATGGTAGCGTAAGCTGTGACACCTGCCAGAATTTCAGAGATCAGCTTAGGGGATACTCAGTGTAATCCTGAGTAAAATGACCTAAAGCAGGAGCACTCTATAACTTTTAACCCTGCTAACATGTCTGGTGATGCATTTTCCAGCACTCTAATGCCAGAGATGGACAGGATCATTCAGTGGGAGAAAGCCAAACTGTGAGATTCTCCACCAGAAAAACCAGGTGATCCCTCCAGAAGACACGTGGCAGGGAGAAGAGCATCCTTCCCAGAGCACAAGAAGGATTTTCTGCAAGACCTCCATATCTCACTGCCACAAGGAAAGGCCTGTCCTTCAAACCCTGGCCCAAGTGGCCACATCCTGCTGACATGTGCACTGGCTTGCAATAGCCATGGGCAGGGACAAAACTGCATATGAAAACTGAAAACATACAAAGAACGCATAGAGTCTTTGCTCTCTTTAGCTGCCTCCCAGATTCCAAACATAAATCCCTGTCTGAGCACTGTGATTTACACTGGATCAGGCCTAGTGGCAGGGATACAGAATGCATAGGAGCAAAATCCTGATTTTGGTTTTGTTTTTTTTTTTAATTGTGCTCATTTGATAAAGTCTGGGTTCTCAATGTCTCTTTAACTGTCACACGAAAACCTCAACATCTCCTACAAAGTATTTTCACTGCCTTGCTCTGAGGAATACTGAAGCACTATGAAAGTAGCATATTTCAGTCTTAGAATCCCAGAATGGTTTGGCTTGGAAGCTACATTAAACATAATCTAGTTTCAAACCCTGCTACAGGCAGGGACATCTTACACCATCCCAGGCTGCTCCAAGCCCTGTCCAACCGGGAGCTGGAGCCCAGCTGCAAAAGCCAGACACAAGCAGCAGGAAAAGTTTCCTTTGGTGCTTGGAAAAAACAGAGGAGCACATCAGAAACTATCATGCTCCCACAGAATGGCTGTCCTTATTAAAAAGCCCATGCTATACCAGGTTGTAAGGTTCTCCTAGGAAAACAAGAAATTCAAATGCTGCTAACAGTGCTTCCTGCAGCTTGTGCTGGGCTACACAGCAGCATTCTTTTAGGCTAGAAACTCCACACCACAACCATTTCAACTGCAATAACTCAGCTACACAGGCTGGCTTCGGGACTTGCAATATGTTTTTTTTTTTAATATCGAAATGGTAAAACAAATATTATAAGCCAAAGAAACTATTTCTTTGCACATCTTTACTGATGATGAAAATGGAGGCAAAATGCATTAATATACTGTGCTAATATACGAGGTGTATTTTACATGGAATACAGGCATATTTTTAATAAGACTGAAAACTCAGTAAGCAAACAAGTGTCAAAGTAACCATATCAAGTGAAAATTGCTGCTTCCCTGGACCAATATGCCTTTCTGACTGCTATAGACACAGGTAATAATACTATGGAAGAAACATCTGGAAAAAGAATTCAAGACTGAGCATTGCAAAGACAAGGCACATCCCATTTTACATTACATGATCAGTGCTTAAGTGATGATAGACATTTTAAAATAGGCCAAAGTACTCCTCTGGCAAGCCCCGACTTGCTAAATAAACCCTCTGCCAGACCCTTTTCCTTACTTCTGACTTCAGTATTTCCAGAGCTTGCGTTTTGCTGCTTCCTCCCACACTTATGACCTTCTCTGGCATAAAAAATGAAAGCTGTCATTTGTCTTGTGAACTTCTGGTTAGAAGAGGACGAGGAGTGAGGAAGCTGAGGAAGCCTCTGCAGAGAGGACTGTATGACCTGGTATTAACTGATATCCCTGGGCACAGGCCTGCTTTGCTGGGCTGTGCTGAATCCCCTTTGCCACCCCAGCAGACGCTTAAGCTGGGCTCAGAGCAGTGGGCCTGTGCAAGCACTGCAGAACTACTCACACAACCAAAATCCTTCACATTCAGTAGGCAGGGCTGGGTGGTGGTTAGGTTTATAAAACTAGCTTTAAATGTCACTGTTATAATAAAAGAACATATACTTCTCTACAGGAATGTATTCTTTTATCAGCAACTGATTATAGTGCAGAGACAAAAATGAAACCCAAAATAATCACATAATCACCAAGGCTGGAAAAGCCCTCTAAAATCATCAAGTCCAACCACTAACCCTGTCCAGCACCAACCTGATCACCACTGTTCCCAGGTGCCACACACCTTTTGGACACTTCCAGGGACACTCCACCACTTCCCTGGCAGCCTGATCCAGTGTTTGGCCAAATTTTTCCACAATACCAACCTGAACTTCACCTGGCACAGGTGGAGGCCATTTCCTCTGGTCCTGTCCCTTGGCACATGGGACAAGAGACCAACCCTCAGCTAAGTCTGCCCTCCCATCAGGGAGTTGTGGGGAGCAAGAAGGTCACCCCTGAGCCTCCTTTCCTTCAGGCTGAGCTCCCCCAAATCCTTCAGCCTCTCCCTGTCAGAGAGACGTGTTCTGGTCGTGTTCTGCAAATCACAGCAAAGTGAAAGAAAGGACTTTCTTCTTGTTCTTTTTTTATGCTATACTTCTGTCAAACAGTTATATCTCACTTCCATTAGCATGTACACTCAAAAAACTTTTATGAAGATAAACTGAGAAGGAACCACCACCACACATCAGTTTTCAAAAGGCCACAGGCATCACCTCCAGAAGTGGTAAAACTGCCTCATCCTCCAGCTTACAAACAGATTGTCAGAACTCACACCAACAACTGCTGCCAAAATGGCATTAACCTTTACTGAAAGCAAAATTTCTTGATTGAAATTAAGGGGCCAAATGCTATATTTAACTAGAAACCATGCAGTGCAGAGCAGAAAAAGCAAAATGCACTGAAAAAAACTTCAAGTCAGTGTTGTCTTTCCAATGGAGCAATTAAACAATGGATTTTTTCCCTTCACATTAAAATTAGTATCAGAAAAGAGTTAAGGAACTGAACTGACTTAAGTCCAGCTTACAAACCCAGACTGGGTGCTAAAGAATGAGCGTGAGCAGAACACAGGAATGCTGCATCACATCAACAGATACTAAAATGCCTAAAGTAAGGCATGTAAAGCAGAGAGTTGCAGATGGGAAAGAACACCCTGGGAAGCAGGCAGGGAAACTCTCCCAGTGTAAACCTTCTCACTGGAAACACCTGAGATTCTTGTCTGAGGTAAGCAAAAAAAAATTGTTTTACGACAGTATTTAACATATTCTGAGTGTTCTGGTTTTAAGTTACAAGAATTTTCTCTGACAACCTTCAAGAACTCCACCTTGATGTAAAATTGATATTTAAACTGCAAGCTCTTAGATTGGTATAAACAGGCACAAGATTTACATTCAAACTGCTAACACTTAAACAAAGGTGCCCTGATTTGAGCTGGGGTACAGCTAACGGTGATTCCTCCACTGCTGGAGTAGAAGGACAGTGTTGGGAAATGCTCCTTCAAACCAGTACATCCCAACACCTTTGCAGGCTGAACCCCAAGCTTAGCCTTTGCAGATCTATGCACATGGGCTGTGTTCAACTCCTGTCAATTTACACAGAGGACATTCTCTGTGTACTGTGCTCACCTGATGCCTTACAGATGAGCACCTCAGTGGGAAATCTGACTTTTATAAATTTGTCACACTCACTGGTTTTCTTATTCTACATGCACTGCTGTGTATCTTGTTCGTAACAGTCTGGAGGATGGATGCACTTCCTCAACATTTCTGCTGTTCTCAAGCACACTGCACTAAAAAAAGAGGGTGGAGGAACCAGAGACTGACACCAAATCAAGAGGAGTCCTCTCCTCCTTGCTATGTTGTCATTTCTGCTTTGGACCACCATCCGCTCAGGGCTATCTACAGTGGGTTCTGAAAAGGTCTGTGGATTTCTTCATGAAATGCAGCTGATTTCACAGCTCTTGACACATGAGAAGGTAAGCAAAATTTAACTCTCAGCAACACTTTCACAGCATGCTGGTAGCACCTCTTGCCAAAAATAAAACCAGTTAAAAATACACGTGCCAGGTAAAAACTCTCCTCTGAATTTTCCAAACATAAAAGGTACAGAAATTCTGTTATTCACATTATTTTAGAGAAAATGCAGAATTGAGGAAGGCCCAACAGCAGTAAGTAATAAAACTTGATGTTAATATCAAACATCTTAGTTACTCTTTTTTTATAGCAGAATAGGCCAGGGGAGTGACTATGTGTAACCCACAATGGTACCCACATGAAACTGGTGCCAAAATTCATCTCAGGAAAACAAGAGTCTCCTGCAACTACTCAAACAAGGCAAAACCTGACAAGTGTTGACAGTTCAAAGAGCTTCTCATATCAGTATTATTTATAAGCAACAATTACTATGATGAAATGAAAATTATTTCGTTGACATTTCATTTATCACAAGTTTTTACTTGCAGCTGATGGCAAGTGAGAGAAGGTGTCACTGTAGAAGACAGAGAACTATCCCAGAAACCACTTCTCATTCTGGCAGGCAGAAGGCACGACTTTAAACCTGATTTCTCTCCTAATGAGATTATTACTCTATGACCACTCCTCTTCAAGTGCAACAGTTGTAAACAGGCAGCAGTACCTTTACAAGGAGTGGGAGCTTCTTTTAAATCAAGTGGCTAGGTCAGCAGCCCACACTATAAATTGTAAGTGCAGGATGTCTCTGGTCTTTGACAGTAGCTCTTCTCACAAACACCGTTTTAGATTTGCAGTTAAAGGCATGAAAATGTTCTCCCCTTGAAGCTGCACTGAGGCAGGCAACCACACAGCTCTAACTTGTCCCTTTAGCTTTTTTGGCATTGCCTGGATTTTTCTGCCTACATGTTGTTGGAGAGTGAAATGTTATAGTTTATGACTTCAACATCTTTATGAAGGACCTTTGCCTATTACAGCAAAACCGTATAAAAGCTGCAGAGAAAACCACCAAAACCCTGAATGGGGTCCTGGACTGCATGTTGATAAGATAAGACTCAGGTCTGGGCTGGGGGCAGAAGACAACATTCACAGAGGGATCAAGCTTAGCACCTTGGGGGTGGAGAGCACAGCCCTGGGGCTATCAGCTGCCAGGCTGGCACAGACCCTGCACCAAAGGGTGGAAGAGAGAGAGGTTTTGGGTGTGTGGTGAAAAAGCCTCTGCTCAGAGGCAGTGAATGCCCACCCTCTGCTGTGCAGAGCTCAGCTGTGGGGCCCTTCACCCCAGGAGAAGCTGCAGGACAGCTCAGGGGTGTCATGGCCCATCAAAGGACCCTGAAGGGGTCCCCAGACCCTGCACCAGGCCCTGCACATGCTGCAACACATCCAGAGTCCTGCAAGAGACAGTGTCCAACTGGCCCCCTGCAAGGGAGGCACGTGGGCATCCCCACCTGCCCAAAACTTACATTAATCCACTGGATTCTTTACTTTTCAGGGCTGCAGGGGACCCTCACCACCAAGACCAGATGGAGGGGAGCAACGAGGCATCACTGGGACCCTTGGAAGGGTGACACACTCCTACCTACCCCCTGTCACTCTCCCCCTGTCCCCCTACCCACCCCACACACTGCTTTCTCTTTCTTTTTCTTTCTCTGTGCCTCTTCTACTATCAAATAAAATATATCAATTTTTTGGTGCCAAGATCTAACCTAGATTGGTTCCAATCACGTCTTTTGGGTGTTTTTTGAACATTCAAAGTTCTGTCTGTTTTATACACAGAGAAGCAGTTTTCTGTGTTCTTCTTGGTTTAAACCAGATTGTAACATATGTGAGCTTAGTTAAGAGGTTCCATAATGGTACACCTTGGGTAGTCATTTCTCACCACCTCCCCTCAGGTATTTTACCTAAGTGCCACAAAGCCACCATGCACTGCAGTTCATATCAGCTACTGGCACTGGGTTAAGAACTGGTAAGGAGAAATGTTCACTTTTGGGGAAAAAAAAGAAGAACACTGAGTTAGAAATGTCTGTTTGGATTTCCCTGGATGAGCAGGGAATGAGCACAAACAAGGCCAGTGGATGGGTTTGTGATGCTCTATCACACAAAAGTTTATCAGAAAAATATTTTCTTTAAAGTAGAAGAGCACCAATGACCTCCCTCTTAACAACTCAACCTTTATCAGTTCCTAGAGCTTTTCTAAGAAACTGTGTGATAAAAAATTTTGTGCTTCTCAGCAGGACATTAGTCACTAACTGGAATGTTTAATGAGAAGGTAAATACTTATTTGAAACCAAAAATATGGGCAGAAAAACACATCAAGAGAAAGAAGACAAAAATCAACATTGTGAAGTACCATGGCACAAGGCCAGGATACATTTAAAACAAATGCATGTATATTAATGTTAACTCTAGTCAGAAACCACCCTAACTCCTTACTGCAGAGCTACCAAGCTCTACCACACCAGGACAATCCTGTTTTACTGCTTCCAGTCCAAGTGAGATTACACTCATGGCCCTCTCAGATTTCTCACAACTTTTCTTGGATGTTCCTACCAGGTTTAGGAGGGTATTGGGCAGCACACTGCAGCAAAGCACTCAAAGGCTAGAAACAGTAAATTGGATTATCCAGATAATCCACACAGATGAGACATTTCAGATACAATTGCAATCCCACATCCCAAATTTATCCACATCTTTCCCAGGCTGTGACTTGTGAACCTTTGGGAAAACTCTGTGGAAATTCCTGGATCTGAGGCATACTGGAGGACTGATTGCTGGACACTATGGAACAAGGCATTCTTTCAAATGTAAACGGACAAAATGTCAGAGCAATGTGGGTGAAAAAAAAAAAAAAAATTTGGGCCTCCTTACCCATCATACAGTCTTTGTTCTGTGTCAAGGGGTTCTATTTGCTTCCTTCAACTGGCACAAGCAAAAATTATGAGAGGTGACAGCTAGCTATGGAAGCAAGACATGGATTCTGTTCTGCATCACACAAAATCAACAAAAGAGTCAAATGTGTTCTAGCTCAACAACTGGCTTTTTTTAAATATATATTTGCAATGACAATGTGATAAAAGAATGTGGCATGAATCCCAAGTCAGGTGGTTGGGAGAAGCCCCTGGCATGAAACTGGGGGATTCATTTGGTGAATTTTACTGAAAATATTATAAAAGAAGCCAAAATGTCATTTTTGTAGAATTAACTTTCCCCAGCTGCCTGTCCTACCTTCTGAAAGGCCCTATTCATTTATGTTAGAGGTATTTAAACTAAAATAAAATGTCTTCCTTCAGTAGAGATGCTGATTAGTTGAGACAAGACTAAAGGAACAAAGCCATTATATAACCTTCCTCCTCTATTTTTCATTTGGCATATGTAGTTCACAAGAATAGTTCCAACTTAGTAGCTTTAATAAACTTTGAATCAGGCTAATGGTGACTTGAGAAAACAGCAGAGCACTTTTAATTAAAACATATATAACATACATTTAATTAAAAATAACTACAGTATCATTAGCTGAAAATTTTGGCATTTCTCATCTACTTTGTAAAAGCACAAAGGCTGTAAACACACAGACTCATTAAAAAAATTAAGATGTTGCAACTCTCCCATACGTCCAATGCTTGTTAAAGAATACTACTGCTGACTTTTTTTGTCCAGTTATGATTTTGAAAACAAACAACAAAAATCTTTCAATCTTTTTCAAAAAGAACAACAAAAAAGGAATTCAATGAAATATAAATTAAAATATTGTTCTGGAAACAAATTATTTCAATAAAACATTAAACTACAATTAAAATTCTGGAGTAAAAACTGGAAGTACCCATCAATTAGGATTTTTTTGACAGGGACACTTTTCACCATGAAAAATAATAAAAATCTAAACTATGCATGGAAAATGTAGTAATCTTTAATATCATGCAATGGTTTGGGTTGGAAGGGACTTTAAAGTTTGTCCTGTTCCAACCCCATACCACAGGCAGGGACACTTTCAACTAGATCAGGTTCCTCCAAGCCCCATCCAACCTGACTTTGAGCATTTCCAATGATGGGGCAAGGACGTGTATCACCAGAGGAAGTTATTCAAATATAAGTCATGCAACAGATTTATTGTACTGTTTTCCTAATGCTATACTACTTTAGGGGGGAAAATTCTAAAACATTCCTCTGCTATTCCCCAGTGATAGAAATACAAAACAAAGCTGTCATGACTTGATGTGACTGGAATGGTACAGTGTGACTACACCTTGCCTCTGAAGCCAGCAAAAGGTGTGACACCAATTGCAGGTGAAGAATGAGAGCTTTATCACAGGGGTGACAGCCACCCTCACACTATGTCCAAGCAGTGAGATCAGTCCATCAATTCCCTGCACATTGACTGTGGGTACCATGCACCTCTCCTCTCTTGTAAGAATCACAGGATGGTTTTGCATTGGAAGGACCTTAAAGATGATCTTATTCAACCCCTTTGCCATGGACAGGGACATCTTCCACTAGTCCAGGTTGCTCCAAGCCTCATCCAGCCTTGGCCTTAAACACTTCCAGGGGTGGGGCAGCCACAGCTTCTCTGGGCAACCTGTGCCAGGCCCTCAGCACACTCACAGGGAACAATTTATTTCCAATACCCCAACCAACCCAGCCCTGCTTCAGCTTAAGGCCATTCCCCCTTGTCCTACACCCTCCTTCAGCAATAACACCAACAGTAACAAAGCCAACCAGAGTCTCACCTGGCTATCTTGTCACTGCAGGACATGGTCAGCAGCCTCTCTCCTTGCAATACCCCATCCCACGTCTGGATAGTGGTGGTGGAGCGCACAGGGATGGTCCCTTCCCCAGACTCGATTTTTGTCCGGAGCTGTCCTCTGGCTTTGCGGTTTGGATGTCTGTCCCCTTGGTCTGAAGGACAAAAAACACTGAGGATCAGCTGAGGAACCTTCTCAAAGGGTTTGACATTAGAATCACAGCGAGGAGGACTGATTTGAGGTATTTGCCTGCAGTTACTGCTGGCTTGCATCACAGTTCCTACTGCTCTTGGCAACTTAGCTACAGCGTCAGACACCTCTCACAAATACTGCCTTCCAAAACACACTTCCAGTTAAACCAAGCTTTCACCAAAGGAGCAGTAGGAAGCAGGCAGCTCTTGAGCTCTGTTCTGTGTGTTACAGAGTTAAAATGAAGTTAATGGGCAGACTGTGGAAAGGGCAGGCAGAGAACTGCTGTTAAAGGATGGAAACAGGGAAAGGGGATGGTTAGTTTTGTAGGAATACTTGCTGACTCACTGGCTTATCTCAGTTAGCATCAGCCTCTTCAAGACCACAGGGTTCATCACTCTATACTGAACTTCTACCACAGAGGAAGAACAGCTCAGATTTTTTTGGAAGAGATCTTTGTCTAACACACTTCTATGCTAAAAGGAAAGAAGACACCTAAATTTTAACTGTGCCACTTGTACATGCCCCAGGAATAGTTTAAGCTCCCTTGGGTGGAAGAGGAGGGCTGCTGTCATACCCTCTTGTGCTGCTTCATGGGGTGAGAAAATCCGAGCATCACCACAAGGAGATGTGCTGATATAGAGATGGAACTGCACATTCTCCTTCAGCTTAAACCCGCCTTGCTCTGATCTGATGAAAATGGATTTTTGCTGATCTTCTTTATTGCTGGAACAGAGAAGAAAGCAGGAGTCAAAACTGACATTAACATGGAAATAGGCATAAGCTGGGCAGACTTAACAGACATAAAAACAAACACAGGATGGTTGAAATTTCTGTAATATAAATCTAACAGTTATGACAATTAACTAAATTAAAGGACCATTGAGACAGGAAACAAAGAGCCTGTGGCGATCCCAGACGTCAAGAGCCTTCAGGCACTTAAATGAAACTTTAGCAACCTTCAGCCCACTTCATATTATTTTGATTTATACATTTACAGTTTACAAAATAATTGCCAATTATTTTCCCTGTCCTCCCCTCTGATGATTGACACCTCACTGAATAAATGTTTTGTTCAACTCAAACTTCAGGGCAAAGGGCACGAGTTCTAAATTCAACATCCTAATACAACAGGACAAGTATTTTATACTGAAATAATGAAGACAGATGCTTTCCACAGACACCTTTTCAGCTCTGTGGGATCAGCTCATCATCTCCTTCCCTTCAGCTTACCTTAGGTAAAGCTCAAGTTGTGTGTACAGAAATTTCAGCAGACACCGTCGAGCTATAATTTCTGCATGGCAATCATTTAATGCAAGACCACGATCACTCATGTATTCCCCATTGATGCATTTTGTTCCTGTAGAAACACTTATTACCAGGGCATCTTTCACATCTGTACCTGCAAAGAAAAATTTCAAGAAGGACATGCAATTAACATAACAAATAATGCACTGAGTGATCTTCTTGCAGAACCCAAACAAGGCTCTTTTTTTTTTTTTGGTTGTTTGCATCTTTTTAAAAAATAGATGTTTTTTTCTTCTGATAATTTATTTAAAACAAAAGCTTCACTCAGCCATACCTCCCTGCACCAGCACCATCAGTGGTTTGGATGAGAACTACTCTATTCATGTTAGAGCTCAGACAAGTTAAAAATTGAAAACTTGCAAGTAGAAAGCGCTGCTTCAAGAAGAATTATTAAAGCCTGAGATCCAAAGTGCTTTTTTTTCCTGAGATTCAGGCAGCCAACAACTTTCAGCTGTACCTTCTGGCACCTATGCAGATATTCACAGCCACTTTAGAAATCTGAAAGGCATTGGTTTATTAAGCAGCAAAATGTTTTGGAAGGGTATTGAGCCACAGCAGGAAAGGTAAAACTAGGGGAAAAAGAAATAGAAATGCTTAAATCACTGTAAAGATTACCAGTATCTTGTGTAGTTCTTGGTATTAAACCATTCCATGCAAAAATATGTTAGGTGAGTGTTTTCTCAGTAGAGAACTGACTTTATCACTCAAAAAACCCAGCTGAATCAAGGACTAAGATAGATAGGCCAAAATGCCATTTAGCAAAACACTCAGGGGTAAAAAAAAGCCCAACAAGTTAAAATGAACCTGAGCCCAGCTGGGCCCTCCTGCCCACAGGGCTGGAGGAAAAGCACCAAACTGTAACACAAGGCTATGCCACTGGGTCATTTAATTCCAAGCATTCCCAGACACATATTCATGGCAAGATATTTTCTTATTCTTTGTTAAGCTATTTCTTCTGTTAATCAAAAGGCATTCACATGTTAGTTAAGTCTTAATTCTTTGGCATGTGACTCTTCTTGGAATTGCACATACAGGGCTGTAAACAGCATAAAAACCTGTTAAATATTACAAAACACAACATCACAAAACAAAATAAACGAAACTACAGCATGTTTCTCATGTATTTGGGGCTAAAACAGGGTTATTAGCAGATGAAAGTCTGGCTGTTGCTCAACAGAGCTTGAAGATCATCAGGGCGGCTTCCCAAACCTCTCAACAGCCTGTGTGAGTGGGAGGGCAAGAGACCAGGAGAGGAGACAGCTGGGACAGACTCAAAATGCACATTCCATCAAGGGTTCACATTGATTGAAGACCAAGATAAACCTTAATGTGAGGAAAACTCAGCAGCAGCATGGTCACCGATTAGTTTAGGGCAGAACTTCACTGTTCTGGGTGATCTGGACAAGCAGAGATCTCATGTCAGCACCCAGAGAGCCACGACACCACTGCTGACATGTGCACGCTATTGCCATCTGCCAAAACATAAACTGCTTTCTTCAGATATTTTTAGTAAAATGACTAAAATAGAGCACTAAGAATAAAATGTAGCAAGAATAAGAAAGTGAGAAATCCCAAAGCCTTGGAAATGTAATTTATGCATAACATGCCCAAACCAGTAATACCGATGGTGGATTTCATTTTTTTTCCCGAAGTTTCATGATCAACTTTAAAACATATAATTTGTGAGCTACTCAGATTATCTCAGGCAGAGGACAGGAACTCTGTGGAAAAAGAAGTATTTGCAGGTCTAATTTTCCTGTAAGTACCTGAGATTTAACTACTATGTTTAATCCATCTTTTCATGATTAAAAAGTAAAGATACATTACAATACTGCTTGACTGAAGAGTTAGTTTACTAGATGCAAACAGAGCTCTCATCTTTAAGCATTCAAGATACTATTTTTTTTTAATTTACCTGTTGTCATGACAATTCCAGCAAGGACTTTTCGACGTGCATGTGGAGACGAGAAATTTTCTGTCAAATCACTGAATTTATCTACAACCAAGCGTGCAACAGCATCAGCTAACACCTGTAGGACCATACAGAAACGCACATTAAAAAATTTAAAAATAATTTGAAAATTACAGGAGCGTTAAATTATAAATATTTACACTTTTAAAATGATTGGACAAAGCAGATGAAGTGAGTTTTTATTGTTCACTTTAAAATTTGACATTGAGTGTCCCTTGCAAGTGGAAGCAGAGGTTTGAGTGCTCTGTGTCTACCAAAACAAGGTCAGACAGTGCTAAGCCAAGCACTGAAGCACCTAATGCCCATGATTCGATGAACATTTGAGGCTTGGGAGAACAACTGGATAGACAGATAAGTCTATGCTCTCATGGTCAAACCTCAAAACACATCATTTCAGTATCCTCAACATTGAATCTGACAGTAAGATTGAAGTAAAAACCCATGCCCCCTTTTATAACAATCTAATTCCTTATCCAACTATTATATAAATAAGGACAATTTTGTTTTCAACCCTAGTTTAATGCTTCCTATTTTTACAAGACCTATACAAAGTTAGGAATAGAAAATATCAAGCGTACAACCCCAAATAAGCTATCTCAAAATTAGGGAAGATTTCTGTCTTTCAGGAAAACTTGAACTTTAAATCAGGCTGTAAGTGGGGCTCACTTGCAAAAGGAAGGAAAACTTTAAAATAGCAGTCCTGCTCCTACTGACAGACAATCCAGTTCAGCACTGCAGCTGCTCTCACCTGCTGTTTTCAAGGCAACCAGAACTGTAACTGCTAGAAAAAATGAGTCAAGACCAAATTCTTGAATTTTCACCTGAAAAGAAGCTGGAGCCAAGGCAACCATGTGTTGATAACCAGCAGTATCTGAGATGTTCCAGGCGTGCACACCTGGCCCACAGCTCCACACGCCACAAAGGCACAGGTATTGTCACACTCACCAGTGCCATTCACATGTCGAGTGAGGCACTGGAACAGAGAAGTTGTGGCTGGCCCATTGTTGGAAGTGTTCCAGGCCAGGTTGGACAGGGCTTGGAGTAACCTGGGATAGTGGAAAGTGTCCCTGCCCATGGCAGGGGGTGGGACTGGATGAGCTTTAAGGTCCCTTCCAACCCAAACCATTCTATGATACAGATTTGTTAGATGCCCAAAGGGAAGAAGGGAAAAGAAAAAGAAAATAGAAAAAAAAAAGAGAAGAAAAAGGTTTGAAGACCATCAACCCCATTCACCCCAATTTCCTTAACAAGGCTCATGGGAACCAACCAGCCTAGAAATGATGTGGACATGCTCTCAATGTTAACTTCCTTTTGGAAAAGCTTTAGCAGCCAAGAAATAACTAAAATTTGGGTGTGATGATTACAGAGCTCAGCAGCTCTCACCAGAGCCTGACAGAAAACAGTGATTAGCAGTCAGGTCCCAGCTGCACCAGCCTCATCCATTTTGCAATTGCTCAGCTTGTGGAATCAGAAGACTGTTGACATTGCAAACACCAATTTTCTTGAAACATTTGAATGGACTGCAACTCAGAAAGTCCGTATATTTTTCAGGAACACATTTAGCTCAGAGACACGAACATGGTCTGGTCAGGCACTGATTTTCAAACACAGTCTTTTTGTTGCTGGGCCCAAAATTGGGTTAGTCCATGTTCTGCCAGCACCACAACCACACAGCTAAAATCTGCATTTAGTTGTCCTAGTACTTACCTAATGCAGAAAGCTGAAATTTAAGGTAAATACACAAAAGAAAAGGCAAATAGTTGAGTGTTTTTTAATCACCTGGTCTTAGAAATGGAAAATTAATACACAAAAGGCTTAAATTATTAAGCTCCTTGCAGCCATGAGGGCAGATCACTGTATAGCCAAGGCACATAGTCCCCATTCCAGTGTTTTACTCCTAGCCTCACTGCATAGTAATGGATACTTCCTTCCCAGTTGCAAGTTTTATGCTCTCACTTCTGTAATCCATGTATTTTCTGCTCTACCCTACACTGTGATGTGCTGGACAGCACATTGTAAAATTATGCTGGAATGACATTGTGCTGGAATATAGATACTAGAGAAACAAACTATTCCAAATAGGAAATGCTTCAGGTCACTTCCAACCCAAACTATGCTATGATTCTATGCTTAATAGAGGCTTCAAACCTGCTAGAAAAGGCTTGGCATCCAGGGAATAAACAATGTGATTCACCTTTTCTAAAGACGTGCTGGTGGGTGCTGATGGTAGCTGGAGGAGTCTTCCCCAACTCTGGGAACTGAAACTGCCATGTGTTTCTGGGAAGAAATCCATGGCCACTTTGCCTGCTAATAATGCCACTGAAAAAAGGCTCCCTGAACAGCAGCTGGGTAGTAAGCCTGCATACAGGGCTGCATCCATTAGCTTCTTCCAGAAGGATCTTTATTTTCACATAACAAGCAAAGCAGAGGAAAATGTGGTGTTGCTATACAAAGGAACACATGGTGAGTTCCTCCAGGAAGATGGAAGCTGGCACAGCAGAATGGAATGGAGCTGCATCTCACAGAGCCTGGAGCTAAGCTGCTGGCAAGGAAACTTAAAAATGCTTGGATGAACTTGGAGTCAGACACTGGGGAGGACTCATAAGCAGAACTCAAGCAAGACAAAATGAACCTTGGAGATGCAAACAATCCAGAGTGAACTGGAGAGGAGGGGGAAAAATCACTGCCAGAAGACAGGCAAATATATTGTTATTTCTATTTGATACACAAATTGCATGACAAGCTGGGCAGTGAGGAATAAACACTGTTAAATGCCTATAGAGGTAGTCACTACGACTTTGGTCTTTGATAAGAATACTCCCCAAGAAATAAGAAGAATTATCCCTCTCTCCCAGGTAGACTATTACACTGACATAGTAAAAGGCATGGAAGAGAAGGGAGTAAGGCAGCACCAGGAACAAGACTTACTGGCCAGAAATGACATCCTGCTGTCCCCATCTCAAAACCATGGACTTGAAGCTGTTCCCACAGCAAGCCCAAGCCAGTGACTGGCCTGAGTAGGGATCTTTCACATCACATTCTGCTCTACTGCCTTTCATATAAAAAAATATTGATTGGAACAGAAATTGAACTCATGTCTCACCTTTCCTGTGAATGTTCTAACATCTGACACATGGTTTCTCTACCGCTGCTTCTGCATTAAATCATTATTCCAAGTTGAGTAGTTCAAAAGAGGAAAGACCTAAAATAGCTGACAGTTGGCTCAGTAAGGCATGTGAGCTCCACATTATTTTGGGTGTGTTGTTCCCTTCTCTGATGAAGTCACAGTGAATCCACTCCTTTTCACACACACAGGCTGGTTTTGGTTAAATACACATGTTGCAGCAATGTCGTAGCAGAACCACCCTGATCATTCACACTCAAAAAAATATTCTGGAGCTGATGAAGTTCAGGTCAATTTGGAGCTGAAGGAAGACCTTGGAAGGCCCTGGAGACCACCCAAGATCAATGCTGGGGATCCCCTGAATGGTGGGAAAGGCAGCAGAACAGCTCACAGCTCTCACAGGATCTGACCTGAAACATCTCAGTCCTTTGTGCTCTCCTTGGATCTCCAGGCACCCTTCTCAAGCAGAAATGTTCTCCCTTGGTTTCTTTTTATTTTTTCTCTTATCTTCACAGTTTATGACTTACATGAACTTACAACTGCAGGTAAAATTAATGTACTCCCCTTTAACAGTGACCAGCACACACAATTCAGAGAAGTTTCCTGTAATGATTTAAAGAAACTTCTGCCTGGTTGTAGAGTCTTTCACTGCTTATACTGATGTATCTTGTATATTTCTTGCAATTCCTCAGCAATTATTTCAACATATAATTCATGATATTCCCATAAATATATTCAATATTATCTTTTTCCCAGGTTTGAATCCATCTCATTCTTATTCTCCTGTATACACTCAGCAATCCACTGCAATGAACAGCCTAGAACTCCTCAGTACCTCTCCAGAAGCAGCTTTCCCAGGTCCACAATCATGTTCATTATTATTTGTGTGTCTTTTATAAATTTGAGTAATTTTTTTATACTTCTCCTTGCCCCAGCTTGAACCAGGACTAAAAAAGCACATCACAAATAGCCATCCAGTACTGCTTCTCACCCCATTTCTCCTCCTTAACGAAGGATCAATTGAATTAGGTGAATGATTAAAAATACTCTCTCTAGTGATGTTTTTCAAACTGATCTCATTTGCAGCTATACTGCTCAACTTGTTTTCTCTCACCACAGTCAAGCTTTCTAATTTAAATAACTGTATTTGAGCTTCAATGTGTATGATTCCAATTTCCATCTCTCTGAACACCTTGACTAATCAGTTATCATGTTAAGTAAAAATTTTGAGGAAATAACATTAGGAAAACCTCCATATCAGATTTCTAACATAAGCCATTAGTGGCCTGAAGAGGTGATACCTCCAAGCAGCAGGATCCCACTGAATGATGGAAAACTTTTCCTTGAGTGACACCAGCAGCCTGGACTGCTGAAGGTTTGAAGCATATACTGGGAATTACTGCTACCAGTGTGCTCTTTTCACAGTTTTACTCCAAAGCATTTGGTACTGGCCTGAGAACTTCTTTTAGGGACAGCACCATGCCATCTTTGACAGAGGTGTGAGACCCCTCCAGAGAAGGCCACCAAGATGTTCCAAGAGCTGGAGCCCCTCTGCCCTGGAGACAGGCTGGGAGAGCTGGGGTGTTCACCTGGAGGAGAGAAGGATCAAGGGAGACCTTAGAGCCCTTCCAGTGCCTGAAGGAGCTCCAAGAGAGCTGGAGAGGGACTGCAGGCAAGCGCCTGGAGTGAAGGAGAAGGGGGAATGGCTTCCCATTGACAAAGGGCAGCATTAGATGGGTTACTGGGAAGAAATTCTTCCCTGTGAGGGTGGTGAGGCCATGGTACTGAGAAGCTGTGGCTGCCCCATCCTTGGAAGTGTTCAAGGGCAGGTTGGACAGGGCTTGGAGCAACCTGGGATAGCAGAAGGTGTCTGTGCCCATGGCAGGGGGTGGGAATAAGATAATCTTTAAGGTTTCTTCCGACCCAAACAATTTTGTGATTCTATGATTTTTTTAAATCATTGCACAAAGCAGAGGTAACCATAAAAATATTTTCTTTGTTTTGGAGAGGCAAGTTCCTCTAATGCACGTGTGACAATCTGTTCAATACCAACACACTCACTGACAAGGTTCTAAATGCACAACTGGTGAGTTTTTCACTGGGACATTTCTACCCACTCTGAGGCACACGTTGAGTGTGCTCCTCAGTTTAACTCACTTTCCCAGCAGTGATGTTCCTCACTGCAGGGAACCTTCCTTCATCCCTGACAACAGACCAAGCTGTGAGCAAGCAAACAAGCTTGAATTGAACCACAGCATCAGCACCTCAATAACCACCTGGACAGACCATAAGATTATTCTCACACCCATTTCACAACAATCCATTTTGGACTGCAGCAACCCTTCTGTACCATTTGATACCTTGCACCTGTGTTTCTGCATTTAACTCTCTTTGGGGTAACTGCAGCTCTGCTGGGGTCACAGACAGACATCCAGCCACACTCACAACCACCACCATCACAGGGAACACCTCGCCTCTCAACTCCATTCTTCTTGCCACAAATAAGCTACAGGCAGGTTTGGACCTGCCACCCAACAGTCAATTCCATCTTCACTGGCAAAACGACACTGTGCTTCTTTTATTTCCCCTAAACACTTGGATTTTTTTCCTCCTTCCACATATTTCGAGCTTTCATTTTTTCCACTGGTTGTATCAAATCCTATCTTCACTTACATCATTCCTGCACTCTCCAGTTTTTGTGACTTCATCCAGTTTAGGATTATCTCTGAATTTAACACTTTTTTACACAGTAAACAATGTCTAAAATAATTAAACAACTCACAGACTTGTAAAGGAATATAAATCAAGCAGGACCTGAAAACAGCACAAATGATTAAATCATTAAATACATATCAGATCAAAATCACTAATATGTAGAAGACCTAATGTAAAACAGCTAATTATAATTCAAAGCAAAGCAACACAGTGAAGTGCTCGATGACATCCTGATGACAAGCTGATCAAAAGCCCCTGAAGAAAAAAATTACTTAAAATAGGGTCTAAATGAGGCAGCACCCATGTACCACCTTTTTCCCAGCTCAGCTTGTGTTTTTCACACTTTCCTCTTCCAGTTTCAGTTTTCACCATTTTACTGATGCAAGAACTAAAAACACATGAATTACTAACAGTGAAATTTTTTTGGTGTCTGGGGTCAAATCTACTTTTAAAAGCAGAGAAAGCAGTCTAAAAATCACTGAATCTACTGAAGACATTGTAACTACCCAAACTAGCACGATCCTGGATTTGAAAATGAAGGAACCATTTATCAGTAACACAATAATTGTGCAAGATTAAAATTAAACCATATAGAAGTTCTAAAATATGCATAATGTCCATATATTTTGAGAAAACAATGTACTGAAAACAGTCACATTTACTTATACTCTTTGACCCCACATTATCAAATCAGAAGAGTACATTAGAATTTGAATGAAATCTAGAACATTGGTTTTGAGATAGAAAAGGTCAAAGCCTTGAAATTCTCATAATAAACAGAAAGCTGCAAAAGAATTCTCAGACAAAGATTTTTAATTTAGATTTAGGGCATATAATGTCATTAAAAAGACCCAAGAGATGCAGTAGAAAGACAGTAGTCAATTATTAGTGTAGTTTGACTGGGAAGAAGCAAAAACAAGAAAAGAAGGGAGAATTGTTCTGCATTAAAAAACCCTCAAAATTACTCCATTCTAGTGACTTCAGATTTCTGATCTGTGTCCGGTATGTTACTTTCCCTAGTTCAGTAACTATTTAAATTATTTCTCAGCCAGATTTACTTGCCTAAGTAATTTCTATATGCATATTAATTCATTTGCCTACAGCACAACTCTTCAGATGAGAGCCATTTAATCACACATCCTGGATACATGCACATGGAAATCAGTGGCAGTTGCAACAGCCTCACTTAATCTGACCTTCACTTGCAACAATTTCTGTTGGCAGGAGAGAATGATTTTCTTCTCTGCTAAAAACTGCTGTATCAAATAATAACTTCACTTAAAGCAGTAATTCTCACTGGAACTCCATCTAAGTCTTGCTGCCTGAGACAAGCAAGATGTGATTCAATCTTTCTCCAGCACAAACTGTAATTCAAGCTGGCACTGGCGCTCCCTTATACAACATGGTCAAGGTTGAAACCATCAGAAACAAAGCCTCTTCTCTGTGCAAGAGAATACAAACTGTCAGAAGCTGTAACTGTATAAATCACCTAATACAGATATACATATACACATATCTATATACACATACATAGCTACAGAAGTAGAAATGCTGCTCAAACTGATGCAATACACAATTTGACTCCTCTTGGTCATTACCCAAACCAATCCACGACACCCAAAGGGTTTCTTACCTGTGGCAAGTGTAACTGGAGCCCCTCACTGGGAATGGGCTGGCGAGACGGAGTCTGGTCCAGCTGCATGTTAAACAGGGATGCCAGGGCTGACTGAGCAGCCCGAGCTTTTGCCAGCTTTTTGTTCCTTCCCGAGCCTTCGAAAGTCTGCCCATCCACTGCCACAGCCATGATGAAGTTCTTGGCATGGCTCTCTCCGCTCTCCGAGAGGAACTCGTACTTCAGCCCGGGCCGCAGCTCGTTGAGGATCATGACGGGGTTCTTCCCGCTGGCCGTGGGGTAGGGGGAGGGTGGGGGCAGCGGCGACTGGGAGAGGCTGCTGGCTACGGCAGACGATGGCAACCCGTAGTCCCCGCCGGAGCCAAAGGAGCCGTCCCCGTTGGACCCCAGGTAGAAGGAAGCGTCAGAAGGAACTGGCGTCTCGAAGCCGTTGAAAAGGGTGTCAGGGAAATCAGCTTGGTCAGATGTGAAGTCTGTGTTGACCGACAGAGTCCTGCCCATGGCCAGATGGGCTTCCGAGGCGTTGGGGAACTGGACGAAGGAGCGCAGAGCCTTTTCGGCAGCGTGAAGCTTGGCTTTCTTTTTTGTCGGGCCAGACCCCTCAAACACCTGCCCATTGACTTCCACCGCCATCACAAACATGGGGGCGTGGACTGGCCCCGTCTGGGAGAGGAGTTTGTATTGTAAACCGGGTTTAATCTCGTTAAGCTGCATCAGGGCGTTCTTTGGCAGAACGGGGCCGGGCGTTTTCTTCCTCTTCTTGGGGCGAAATTTGGAGTGGCCATTGTTGCCCTCCTCCAGAGGTCTCTTCCTGCTGCTGCTGCCACCGCCGTTGGAGAGCGGGGTGCCCTCGCCAAGGCCCTGCCCGGCGCTGTCCTTGGGAGGAACGTTGTCCACATTGCGGTTTTCTTTAATGTCGGTGCTGCTCGAACCTGCGGTGCCCAGAAAGAGTAACTTACAATGCCTTCGGTGCAGGATCTTGTAAATGCAAAATTTATAGATTCCTTTATCTCTCTTTGTAACTGGTTAAGTGATGTGTGCTCACAGGTTAAAATATTTTTGCAATGCAACTGGAGATGATAATGTAACACAACCTCTCAATAATTCAAGAAAAAACACACTCAATCTTCAAACCACACACTTGATACAACTGCACAGCAAAAAATCACTACAACTTTTTTCTTAATTTTAATTATGCTGGAACAAAACTTTTACTTCTAAGTTATATTTAGCCTCAAAAAATCTTTAAATCAACAATATAAGCTATAGCAACATATGCCCACAAAACAAACAACTACCATTAGTAAATAAAAATGGATGCCTAAGACCACAACTCTGAGCTAGATATTTAATTCTATTTAATTATCAGTTTAGTCACATTACTTTTGACCCCGCGGTGATTTTAGTTGCTTAAATTGAAAAACTAGGTAAATAAAACCTTTGTTCAGAGCAATGAAAAATTAGGCAACTCTTTGGTAGGCACCACGATTAAGAGTGATTGAATACTTTTGTTTCTCTTTAGCTATTCCATATTTTTCAAATTCAGTGATTTTTTTATGCCTTTTCTAATCATTCATTTAATCTTATTCCAATTTTGTCAGGAACTACAGCTGCCCACTGAGCCAGCAGGACCACAAGACCATAATTTCAACACAGCCTTCTATTAAAAAAAAATCTCTAATTCATCATTTAAAACCTAATTCCTTGTCAAGGAAACTGCTGTCATGGAGTTACAAACCCCACAATCACTAGAGATCCTCTCTAAGGCTATGTGTGACAAATAGAAGTGTGACAAAAGCTGCACACTCACTGTGATAATATTTTAATGAGAGGGCAGGGAAGACAATATAACATTAATTTAATGATTTGTTTCTAAAATGTAAGTTGGGGCAATGATATGTCAGAGCTATACATAAGGAATTGAATTTGCTATAAGTTCAAAGACCTAATTTTCACCCTGATAAAGAAACTAAGGAAATTAACTATTTGTGCTTTCTACTGGCATTTGTGAATGAAAAGGCAAATGTAATAGATCAAGTATTTTTAACTCTCTTTTTCCAAAACTTTAATATATCTTCATTACATCTACACTGACTCAAGGTAGTAAATGACCATTGAAATTAGAGCAAACCAGGTGGAAGCTCTCCTTCAGAGTGACAAATTCAAGTCACGCTTTCAGTCTTCCCTAAGAATCCCCTACCATGCACACATCACTTCACCCAGGTTACAAAGCTGATGGAATGGTTACTAAATTTTCATTTATAACATCCTCCAGCAAAAGCTCGATAGGTTACTCCTTTCGGTGCTCGAAGAGAAAAAAAGGAAGGAAAAAAACAAAATATCAAAAGAAAAAGCCAAAGTAGGAAGACATTTTGTTAAATCACAGCAGCACAACAAATACAATTAAGTCAATTAAATTCTGTCAAGAGTCAAAAGTCTGAAGCATTTCATTGCTAGAAATCTACTACATTTAATCAAGTTTATATTTAATCTCTTGTCCAGCAACAAATATACTGCCTGGAGAATGAAGGCTATAGGGCCACAACTGTCAATACACAGTGTTCATGCATATATTCTTTATAAAAACATGCATTTATGGTGGAAGAATCTAAGGACATTGAGGAAATTTTTAAATCTTTCCTTACAGTGAGTTTCTTACATCTCATCCAAAACACTGCCCTTACTGGTGGCACCAGGTATTTGCTACCAACCACCAAGACTTTCAGGCTAAACAGAAATAACTGACTTAACGCTAATTAATGGCCTCTGGTTTAATTTCTTTTTATATGAAAACCACTACCAATGCCTGCAGGAGGAAAACAGGAGCTGAACAGACTTGAGCTGAACATTAAAAACTTCTGCATGTAGGCATGGCAGCTGGAGGAACTCCTTTGTCAGGCAGGGGAATGGATGTCCTGACAGAGAGGAGGGACGTGTAGAGGGCAGGAAATAAACTTGCAGGCTTACCTTGTCTCATTAAGAGAGAAGGGAAGAAAACAACTCCTTGCCTGAGAGCTACTAGGCTTTGTTACCTTTGGAGAACCTGCAAGGTGGAAGAAACTTGGAGAGGAAGAACACAGGGAGCTGGTCCTGAATCAAACCAAGAGACCAGAGAGGAGGTAACTGTGGAGCTGATCCAAGTCCAAGTTTGTGATGGAAACTGAAAGACTTCCTGTGCAAACCAAAAGGACCTGTGCTTGTTTCAACCCACAGAGTTGCTGGATTGCAAGGAAAGGTCCCTCCCTCCCTTGAGGGTGAAGGTGTGCTTTTGGTCCTTTTTGTCAGTCTGTCCAGCCCAGCAGTGCTGAGGCCCTCTGATTACCTGAGTGCTTGGGAAGATCAGTCAAAACATAACCTGTTCAAGTCAGAGACATCACCTCTAATCTTGGAGTTACATGGAATAGCTCCTCCAGCCCAGCCTCCCTGGATGCCTTTTCCAGGCATGCCACACTTCCAGGGAAGTTAGGAATGGCCCTCCTGGCTCTTCTGCACCTTGCCCAGTTGCCCACATGTGACAGGGCCACCAACTCATCCAAGGAGAGGGCACCACACCAGTGTAAGACTCGTAAGTGTCCTCCCAGGGACATAAGTGACCCTCCCCAGGGCAGCCTTGCAGCTCTGAGCTCTCCCAGAGACCATGGCAGGGAGCCACATGTGCTTTTTTCCCCAAAAAATGCTTTCTAATGGCTTTTAAAGATCCCATAAACCTATGGCATCCATGATGTCCTGATTGAGTTGCTTCACCACTTCATCAAAAATGGCATGAAAACATCTCCCATTGCTTTCTCTGGTCCTCCACCTGCTAGTCTTACTGCATCTACTGGGGTTTATTTGCTCTTTTTTAAATGTTTGATGATTCTAATATTAAACATCCCATGTTGTGCATGATTTTACAGAAATCTCTGATATTTCCAATCTTTAAATTTAATTCTTCAAGGATGAATGCTTTAGGGAGCTTCAAGAATGCTTTAGGTAGCCCTTTGAAATCTATCACATCTGCTGTGTATTTAAGGCTTTAAGGCTTTAAAGCAGCATTAGCACATACATAAACACTTGATGATTGAGATCCTGTTTTCTTAAACATTTATACAACCCACAATTTAAAAACTGGATATTTTTCATTGGTGTATTTTTGGGTAATTAAAAATATGTGGCAGCTTCAACTAGATATTTGACTTATGTCTGTGGAGGCCACCTTAGCAAAAAATCAGAGCTGACACCAACAACTTCAGCAGAAGGACAGTTCTGCCCTCCAGATTTCAGCTGAGCACTTACAAACCCAAGAACACTCAAAGCAGGAAAAAGTCATGGGGAATTTTTCATGCCAATAAAGAAATAAATCTTCCATCTGGACATGCTGGTTTATTTTTGGGTTTATTCCCTGTAATTAAAAAGTGTCTACCATTAAGATGCTTTATCCATTGGGGACCTTCCATTACCTGCTTGCTGAGAGACAACACTCCCCCCGCTCTGTCTGATCTGGAACACAATTAATTAAACTTAACTCTTAGCTAAACCAAAAGATTATTCTAGCTACCCCTTATACTGCTGCTCTCACTTAGTGGCCTGGGAAAATTCTCAGTAAGTAATTTTTTTCATTTAAAAACAAGCAGAAATCACAGATTCAAACAGATATCACATGCTCTCTTCAGAGCATCTTTTAGAAAAAGAAGTAAAAACATCAAAGATAAAGGTCAGGAGAGTCACATGCTTGTGCTCCAAGTGTTCAGAGTGCTGCAGACACACCAGCCACCCAAAGAAACAAAAAACAAATCAAAACATTTTAAATAACCATCTCTTCCCCCAAATATCTTGTAGCATCTCTATGACCAAAGGATAAATAAGGAAAACACTAAAAATTGAAGTCTGAAACACTGTTTTCTCAGGGATATTAATTTATTAATGTAAGACATCATCATTGCCTTATATTTCATCTGAACCAAAAAAATCATCTTAATTCTGGTTTCTGCAGAGGAATTCTTGTTATGCAACCTCAGGCTACAAAGACTGCATAACCCACCTTCCTTTCCTTCAAGAACCTTTCACCAAAAGTAGTTACATAAAATAATAAAAAAATAAATAGGCAACTTCTAACATGATACTTCACAATTATAAGAGATATAAAAGTAAAGAGAGCTAAAAAGTTAAAAAAATACATCTCCATGCAAATCAAAGTGAAGAACTTAAGAATTTAAATTTTGATTTCTGACCTCCCCAAATGAGATGATTTAATATTTCAAATTCATGATGAAGGTCATCCTGCATTTTATATGAACTGGGCTCAGCCAAGGTTCTAACATCTCAAAACTGAAGTTATACAAATGCATTCCCTAAACAGTTCCATGGGGCCAAGCTCCTGACAAAATAACAAATTCCTTGAATGATTTCCTATACTGAAGCATTAACACACAAAAAAGCCCAGAAGCAGACAAAAATTTAGTGCTTTTCTTAATGACACAGAATTAAAGAAGGCCCCAATAAAGAGATTATATTTCTACAGCTCAGGAAGACACCTTCTATTCATGCTCAGCTATACCATTATTGAAAAAATTAATGTTTTATAAAAAAATATTATGAGAATTACCCAATTACACTTTTTGAAGGCCTTTGTAGGGAAGCCACATCTAGAAACAGTTAAAATATCCATGTGAAGTAGTTTCTTATATATCAAGGAAAAGAAAATTATACCAAGCATATTGCAGCTGAGTTCACTGTTTCACTAAGCAAAAAAGATTAATTCTATTTCAGGTAATATTTTTCGTTACAGTTTTGGGTTTTTTGGGGAGAAGGATGTTTATTTTAGGTTAGATTGGCTTATTGTAACATAATGATCTAACTTTCTCATCTCCCTCTAAAATTGTTCTGTAACTCCTCCAGACTAAACTACAACTCCTCTGCTCCAAAGCTGTTGCTGGGCTTTGTCACCTTTGCCAGATGCACTCTTTAGCCACTGTCACTTGGGGGAAAAAGAAACACATTTGTTATAACATAATGTACAATTATTTACAGTCAGGCATAGCACAGCAGCAACAGAACAATTCCCTGAGTCACAGGGGAAAAAAAAAGAGACAGCTGAAAGGCAAATAACAGTAAAAATATTTTAGAGCAGCTCAATAAGAATAGTTTTCTCATAAGTTATTGGATCTTCATTATAGCTCAGAGTTAGCAGTCTCACACACTTGACTGCATCAAGTACACATCAAGATGATCACTTTGACTATTTTTGTGCTTTAAAATCACTTCAATAATTCAGTAGCTCAGGGTTGGGACAATCACCATCTAAAGAGAATAATCAGCCCATGTGAGCCCTGCACAGAGCTTTTCCATCTCCTCCTTTGCTTTTTCCTTTCTCCTCTTCTGCTCTCCCTCCTTTATATTACACTCTTCAACTCCATCCCCTTTATCTCACCCCTCACTCCTTACTGGTACTTTACCCTTGGCATGGGCATTACTGAGATCATCCCTCCCTTCTTCATTGCTGAATCAAGACAGGGAAATAGTTTGATTAGTCAGCTGCTGTAGGAAAAACATAAGGTATAAAGTATAATACAGAAGGTATAACTATATTAGCATCTAAAAATGCTGTTAATACAAAAGCTCCAATTCACTCTTCTTCACTGCATTTTAAAGTATCTTCATTTCTGCGCCTGAAGTTTCTTTGCAGTTGCCCCTGTGCTTGGGAGAAAAAATAATTACTTCCAGAAACTATTAGAGAGTTTATTACTATGCAAATAAACACATCTTACTCATGTTTTCTTCATCGTCTACATCCATTGTGAAATATCTTTGCTGGTTTCTTGCTTGGCAGAGACGGCTCCTGTCTGGAAAACAGGGAGGGGAATACTTAGGTTTTAAGGTACCAACTTGTTAGGTTTAAAATTTATTATTAATAACTTTTAAACATCCTTTAAAAGCAGCAGCCCAGGCTTAGCATTGGGCTGTTTGGGTAAATCCTGACCAAAGATCCCTCCTAAAACAGAGATGTTCATCAGTGACTGAAAGACGCAGCCCCAGTCTGCCAAAGGCCAGAGTGGGATGATGACCACAACAAGGCCTCCCCAGAGTCTCCTCCAGGCTGAACAAGCCAAGTGCTCTCAGCTGCTCCTCCTATGGCTTCCCTTCCAGACTCTTCACTTTCTTGGCAGTCTCCTTTGGACAATCTCTAATAGCTTCATGTCTTTTTTACATTGTAGTGCTCAAACCTGTCCCCAGAACTCAAGGTGAGGCCATGCCAGCCCAGAGCAAAGTGGGACAAACTCCTCCCTTGCCCAGCTGGGGATGCTGTGCCTGATGTCCCTCCTGGCTGCTAGGAGCTGCTGACTCCTACTCAACTTGCCATCAAACAGGTCCCTTTCCACAGCACTGCTCTCCAGCCTCTCATTCCTCTCATGTCCTGGTCTATACACACAGCCAGGGTTGCCCTACCCCAGGTGCAGAATCCAGTACTTGCCCTTGTTATTAAACTTCTTATGGCTGGGGACTGACCAGCCCTCAAATTCATCAAGGTCTCTCTATAGGGCATTGACAGAGTCAACATCTCCTTCAGTTTAGTCCCAGCAGCAAACTTATTTAGTATTCCTTTGATTCCTGCCTCCAGGCTGTTTGTGAAGATGTTGAAGAGCACAGGGACAAGGATAGAGCCCTGTGGAGCCCCACGAGGGACTGAACACACACCTGATGTCACCCCATCTACTTATAACCCCTTGTACCCAACCCGAGACAGTCTGCATTACACATCAGCACACTCCACTGTAACAGGAAAATAGTTGACTGTAATCAACAGGACTTGTAAGTAATTATCACCTTAATTAGCACAGCACAGCAGCTCCAGTTACTCCTGCAGCACCACTTTGTACTCAAGGACTAAGGAGTTTACAAATTCCTGGTTTAACCCAAGCTAGAAGTGAGCTGCCCAGCTGTACAGCTGCCCCACACTATGGATAAACTCTCCTGAGGAGCGGGGTTATCAGCCTGGGCTCAGCACCTCACCCCACATCCTGAAGGAGAGAAAAGGCAAGCTCCTGTCTGCTAAAAGCAGAGGCAAACAGAAACTCTACTTGCATTTTTTTTTTAATCATTTCAGTAACTGTGCTGAAACAGATTCTGAAAGAATCGAGGAAGAAAAACAGCCAAGGACGGTTGACAGAAGAGCCCTAAGGCATCTAAGAGATGCAATCCTACAGTGTTACTGCAGCCAAACGACACCAAGCTCTCTGTTTTAAGCTTCAACCACATGTGTATAAGAGTTAGACTACTCGTGGCATATTAAGAATGATCACTTTTTTTCCTAATCCTTTCTTACAAAAAAATGCGTGAGTACAGTTAGCAGTGCTCAGCTCCTCTCTCCAGTCCCCACAACTGCACCAGCAGACCACTCTGGTAAAGAACATAAGTCACAGAACCACTAACTTCAGGACCTTCAAGATAAAGTTCACCCTTTGACTGAATATGAGTGTGTGCACTGAACCAAAGTATGAAATGCCATGTCTATCTGTTTCCTGAGCAATTCCAGGGATGGCATTTCCATCCCACCTCCCAAAGCCAAGCCTCCCTCACTCCTAGAGGGCACTACAAGACTCTTTGTGTTTTATACAAGTAACTGATTTCCATTACAACTAATTTCTAACAACCACACACTTCAAATCAAAAATACTTGGAAGAGAATGTATCAGATATTGAAAGAGTATGCAATGTAGTGGATGCCCCAACCCCAGCACTGTTCAAAATTAAGCTGGATAAGGCTTTGAGCAACCTGGTGTGGTGGGAGGTGTCCCTGCCCACAGCTGGGACTCCATGATCTCAAAGGTCCATTTCAATCCCTTAACATTCTACAACTCTATGAATAATGTGTAGGGGACAGTACTGAGCTGGGCAGAGAAAAGGAACTCAGTACTCTGTATACAGATCTATCTTCCAAATTTCCTCCCACTGTAATCCACGGATGGTTTTTTTCCCCCACCTGGCTTTCAAAGGTAGAGGATTTAATAATAAGTAAAAAGGTTTTTCAAAGTCCTTTCATATAAAATAGGACCTATGCCCTCAGAAAGAGAGGGGAGATGTTTTCACCAAATGGACTCTGAGCCCAGGCTGCTCACTACAAGAAAAGCTTCCTCTCTTGCCAAGGCATGCTTGATTACTTCTGCAATCATTTGACTTTCCAAACTTTTATTCAAGCAGCAAAACTGCATTAATAAACACATTCACTGCCTGTAAACAATCCTTTGAGCAACTGACATCTAGGAACATCTCAGGTCCTACAGACACTGACACCACATGAGGCTGGGTAATGGTCAGTGGCATCTGAGCAAGGACACCTTCCAAAAGAACTTCACTGAAGCTGTGCATCTGCCTTGGACACCAAGGTATGTATGATGAACTCCCGAGTTTCGTTCCTAAAATCCTGCTATGGCATAAGGGGCACAACTACAGTAACATTCTCAGCACTGGAAAAAACTTTTATTTGGGAAAAAAAAATATAAGAGTAAAGGAAAAAGTTTAATTGCTGTTCAGAGATTAACAAAACTTTTAAGAACAGCAATAAGGAGTAAGTGCCATAAATACAAAGTGATTTGGGTCAGTGTATTTACAGCAGGTTCTGTGTGGAATGGGGCTGTGGCAGAACCCAGCTTCATGGCTACAGGGACTGTTTTCTCTCAGGTATACTGATAAAATAAATTGAGGGTTTGACTGCACTGTGCTGGTGTAGCAGAGGGGAGCTTTTTGCTCATAACACAGAGCAATAAACCTACACTCAGCTCTTACCTACATTCACTCACTGAAGCCAAGGGATTCTGCACAGCAGCACACCCTTCTTTTCCTAGATGCATTAAAAGCCAGACATATCAAATGGGAAAACAGTATCTACATGTATGCTAATTTAAGCGGAGCCAGGAAAAAGTACACTTTTAATCCTCTCCTGGTTTTAAAGACTTTAATTCCTGTAGAGTATTTCCAAAGATAAAAAGAACACCAGAAGTACTCAAAAATGCAGCAGCCAACTCAACAGAACTTGTCTTTGTTTCCACAGGATACTACTTAAGAGATTTTTAGGTAAATGTTAGCTATAGCAAGTACACAGCACATGATGACTTAGAGATAACCTACATTTCTTCTGTTTCAATATCCTAGGTATCAACTGCATGCAAAAAAGAGTTGTGAAAGACCTTAAGAGTTACCTTGGTTTATTCTCATTACTGAGAGAAAACCTAAATATGTTTTGAAAGAGAAATTTAGCAGCTAACAACACTTTAGATTCAGCGAATGGCATATATGGAAAAAATCCCATTAACTTGAGAGATGTCGCAGAACTATTAGAAAACAGTGTAAGTCACAAAGCTGCAGTTTTAGAGAAGTTTCATATTTGTTAAAAAGTCCTCTCCTTCCAAACTTTCAAAGTCAAGTGAAATAAAACAGTGGGAAGTGGATCTTGCTCAAAGTATTTCCAACAAACTGGATTTCTTATGAATCCAAAGTGCAAACACTGAAGCTGCACTTAGCAAAGAGGTTCAAACCTCATCTGAAAATGACATTTACAGCACCACCACTCCCCCCAATGACTCCTTTGTTCCAGCACTGAAGTGCAGCAATGAAAGCCCTACCTTTCCTCTCAGATCGCTTCATCCTCCTGCGCTTCCGGGCCATGCCGCAGAGGTTCCCCCTGCCCAGAGCCATGGCTTGACATGATGCCATGCACCCCCAGCACCTGTGCCACCCCCAACCCCTCCCAAAGCAGGAGCAACCTATTCCCCAAAGGAGGGTTATTCCTGTGCTTCCTCTGCCCAGCCCCTGGAAGCCTGGAGTGCACTGATGCGCAGTCCAGGGAACAAAGATGAGCAGAGGATGCAGTTCACCCTCCCGCACTGCCAGAAGCACATGTGACAATTAACCCTTTGTCACACAGAAAGGGCAAGGAAGGACAATTCTCTGAGAAGGGCTAGATCAAAGGCATCCTCACTGCTAGGTGTGGAAAGGCACAATTAATTTTTTTTTGTTATTAATAAAGGAGGGCAACTCTTCAGCCTTGTAGCTCAGAAACAAGGAGAGACATAATCAAGGAAATATTTTTACAGCCTAGTGCATGAAACAAGATGCCTCCAGCATCCTTTACAACTGTTTCTCATGTTACCATTTCATACACTGCCTCAAAAGGCACAGAATGTAGTTAGAATAGCAGGAATACATAAATATACCAGTTTTATATACACTTTAGCCACAGACTTTCCATACAAGGGTTTCTATCAGGCCTGGACAAGAGGCCTCCCATTGTCAACATTACCTGTGGTATTTTCCAGCTTTTTCATAAACTAAAAAGTAACGTGTGACATGATGGAATTATGTGGTATCATCCTGTTTTCCCATATGAGTGACCAACAAACATATATTGATCCTGTAGATCCTACAGATAATCAGCACAGGCTGTTCTTTGCATTTTACAAATTATGCTGTTTCCTCCAAGATTCAAAATGAATTCTCATCCCCCTAAGAGATGTTTTTTTCCCTTTCTCTCTTTGTCAGTGTTGCTGTTCCTTCAGAGCTGTGTAGATGTAGATACCTCACCCTCCATGTCCTTGGTCTGTCACACACAGCTGTTCTCAGCATGGCCAAGATTGAGATACATAACAATGTGTATTTCTCCTTCCTTCTGGGAAAGAGTTCCTCCATTAGCTATCTGAAGCCAAAAGTGATTTTGCTTTTAATAAGTACTTTATCTGCCATAACCTGTCAGAGATTTGATTCACAAAATTTGATGTGAAGACTGAAAAGAGACTTCTTCAGGTGACCTTTGTAGCTCTCCTCCCCAAAGCAGCTCCTAACTCTATCAACCCCTGCTCCTCAAGGCAGTCTGTGGGTATGACACTCAGGAAGGAGGCCTAAGACAAGGCCTTGAAGGATGACAGCTTTGAAGAGAGAAAAAGATCTCTAAGATCTGACTCTTGTCTAAAGAACATACACAGTGCACTTGGGAGAGAAACTTGGTGACCCACTGCAGGTGTAACATTAACAAGAGTTTTAGGAAATAAAAGATATCAAGATATTAAGAAATAAAAGATAAAACAAAATCATAAACCAGTGGTTTGAGTTGGAAGGGACCTGAAAGCTCACCTCTTTCCAGCCCCTGCCATGGGCAGGGACATCTTCCATTAGACCAAGTTGCTCCAAGCCCTGTTCAATCTGCTTTTGAAAAATTCCAGTGATGGGGCAGACACAGCTTCTCTGAGTCCCACCACCCTCAGAGGGAAGAATTTCTTTTTAACTTCTAATCTAAATTTATCCTCTTCTAGTTTAGAACTATTTCTTCTTCTTTTATCACTATCTGTCCACATGAAAAGTCACTCTCCATCTCTTTCATAAGCCCCCTTTAGGTACTGGAAAGTCACAATGAAGTCTCCCAGAGTCTTCTCTTCTCCAGGCTGAACAACCCTCTAATAACCAATCTGTAATGTGTATGAAATTAAATACTCAATATCCTTAAATAGGTTATAATGTCCACATGATTAGACAAAAGCAGGTTGAAAACCAAGTGCAAGGAAGTAAATGCTGCACACAGAACCGAACTATGGCATTCAGGGTTAATGTATGTGTTGGAAGCAGTAAATCCCATAACATTTCACACGTTTGTCACTCGCTGAGCATCAAGGAGAAAATAGGCTGCCTTCTCTCTAAAGAAAAATCAGTTCCCAGGTGGAATTTGGGACCTATCCATCTCCAGTACTCCCATTTCACCTGCATCCCTGAACCAGGAATGCAGAGACACTAAACAACTCAAGCATATTGCACCCAAACCCCAGAGTAAACTAACCCAGGTGAGATCAGAAGCAACAAAGCAAGACTGATGGAAAAGTTCAGCATCTCCTCAATTCTCCCCTCTGCCACCTAGCCCAGTTATGACTTGTGATGGGAGTTTTGTGATGAAGGATTTGTGAGCCCAATTTAGAGACCCTGCAGCTGTGGCATCTCTAGTCCCTTATCAGGTTCCCTGGCAGCAGGAAGCTCGAGGCCATGCTGCAGTCCCTATTTTACATAGATAAAAAGTATATTTATATACATCACCTATCATATGATAAATTTTTAATAGCTATCATATGAAAATCTCCATGCACCAAAACATCCTTGAAAATCTCAATTTACTTATAGATTTGGCTCCCATTATCAGCTTACTTTACATACTCTCTGAAGAAATACTCATACACTGTATTTTTGAAGTGCTTGTAAAGATTTTTTAAATTTTTTGCTCCCACAAGCAAGCTGGGTATTTTTCAAGCACAAGGAAAATATTACAGGCTAACAGCAGTTTTCCTTTTAGTTTTGTGTACTTCAGCAAGAATGAATATAGATCAGCATCAACTGCTAGAACTGCTAGGAGCTAAACTACAGCCTGAGAAGCTGCTCTGCACAAATTCCAGATCCAGAGCTGCTGGCTGCATACTGGGAACCCCAAGAGCTCTGATATAAACTTCATACTGGACTTTACTGGTCAGCTTGGAGTCTGTTCCTCAGGTGATTAAATCCATTCCAACAGCACCATCTGCTGTTACAGAAATAATTGAGGTTGCATCAATTGTTCTCTTGACCAAGGAAGTCTAGAGCTCTGCTCCCAATTAGAAATAACTTAAGATGTTTGCAGATTTATTCCTTTGTCTCTAACCTTCTTACCAGGTTACTGCTAGGACTGAACATCTCATTTTAACATATTTTTTTTCTGAAGGACTCCTCAAGTATCTGTAACTGTCAGAAATGTATTTATGATGTGCTACCAAGGCAAAAGTGGTAACTATTCAGAGAGAAAAACTGAGGAGCCTGGACCTCCCAGTAAATAATATTAATATTTTCAACATAATTTAAAAGATAATTGATACAGCTATCCAGTGATAAGGAAAATAATTGCTAATTGGAAGAAAAATCTAAAATAGTTTGGAAGGAAATAAAAAGAAATTCAGATCTCTTGAAAGTGTTTTATAAAAAGAAAAAAAAACAGTCATAGAGGTAGGCTGATGATTGGGATTAGGAGCAGACTTACAATTTGGTCTTATTTCCTCTTTTCCCATCAAATAAGTTATTAAGCTTTGTTCAAACACTTTGCAAACTTTCAAGTCTTACATGCCAGTTCTGCTTATTTACTTTATTAATATGCATTGGGTACAATTTACACCCAGAAGGGCAACCACCTTTTTGTAATATCAACCTGTAAACCAATATCCTCTGTATTTTCAAGCTGCTGATCCAATAACTGTGAAGGGATTCAGAGTCCAAACATAAATAAAAGTAAAAGATAAAACAAGAAAGTACTAAATAAGCGTTCCAAGTACATTAAGATGAAGTTTCTCCTCCTCCAAGCTATGAGCCAAATGAATCAATCAGAAAACAGAGAATCCTGCTCCATGTTTGCAAATGTAGTGTGCTTACCTTTTTAACTATTGGGGACACATGCTGATTCTGCAACCTGCAAGAAGAGAAAATCCAGTCAATTGTTTGGTTCGTTAAAAATTTGTGCATTACAAATAGCAACTCCTGACCTTAAAATGGACACATTTCTGACTGTCTAAAAATAAATAGTCCATATTACAGATACACAGTCCCAGAGCCAAGTCTTTTGTTACCCTAACAAAGACATTCTGGACGAAAAAAAAAAATTAAGAAAAGAAATCAAGACTCAGGATGCCTAATACTGTTTCAGAAGAAACATCCCTAAGGTTCAAGCAGTTATGTAGTAGAACCAATCTGCAATCTCTGTACCTTCTAGGAGAGAGGTTCAGCAAAAATGTAGTAAATAATATGGGATATAAACATCTGTGCTATCACAGCCAACTTGAAAGCAAATCCAATGTTCTCATCTTGTTAAGATTTTTTTTTTTTTAATTTAGAGCTTCAGTTTTTATTTTTAGGAAGTGATTTTAATCTATATGAAAGGCCCCTCATGCAACAACCCCCTTTCCAAACACCATTTTCTTGATCCCACTGACATCAGACAGCATTCTCCTGCAAAAGAGGAAAATCCCTCAACTACCAGCAGGGGGGTGGAAAACAACTGGAAGATGCAGGGTAAAACACATTCTTAAGATCCTATTCTTCAGGTCTCATCCAACCCAAATAATTTTGTGATTCTGATTCTAAGGAGGATGCAGGATAATGGGGATGCTGTGAGCAGTTTGTTTTGTTTTTTTCCATGAATAAGCACAACTGTTGGACCAGGAACAGACAGCTTTAATTTAACAGACAACCTCCTAGTTCTACAAAAATACTGATGGGGCCTTGCCAGTGTGAAGATAAGACTATTCTAAAACAGTTCCCAAATCACAACCACACAGCCCACGAGAGGGTGCTGGTACCCTGCAGAAACCTGCACTGAATTCACGTTACACACAGCACAGCTACACAACACAACCCGATGCCTGCACATCTCTGAAACTAGTTTGGTCAAAAAGGGATCTGACATAATATTTGAAGTCCATAAACTAGCATATTGCATCAATTTGATCCCAGCTTTTAGGACATTTCAATTTCAACACTTCATAGTGGCATTTTCCAATAAAAATAAAAATATCAATGTAAATTCTACATTGGTCTTAGCATAAAGCAGGAAAAATGCCCAGAATACTGAGTTCAGAGTCAAAGTCCCAACCTAGTGTTCCCATATCCACAATAAAAACTTCCAAACTCTTTGAAAATGAGCTATAAATTAGATGTGGTGTGAAATTCCATAATTTAGGGTCACACCATGGGCAGGGACACCTTCCTCTAGTCCGGGATCCTTCAAGCCACATCCAACCTGGCCTGGGACACTTCCAGTGATGGGGCAGCCACAGCTTCTCTGGGCAGGCTGTGCCAGGGCCTCCACACCCTCACAGGGAAGAATTTCCTCCTGACACCTAACCTAAATCTCTCCGCTCTTAATTTAAAACCATTCCCCTTACCCTATCACTGCCTGACAGTGTAAATCCACGCAGGGAATGTGAGGAAGAGATGCCTTAAAGCAAGGCTTTGTTCCTGATCCCAGAAAGCAATAATGTGAGGCTACAGTAAAAGACATGAGTTTAAGCAGTGTTTGGACAGTGCTCTCAGGCATAGAGTGGGATTCTGGGGGTGTCCTGTGCAGGGCCAGCAGTCAGACTCCTTGATCCTTGTGGGTCCCTTCCAAGTCAAGATATTCTGTGATTGTGACATGACATGTTTTTTCATACACCAAGTCATAAGTCTCCACCATAAACTATAAATGCAATTCAACAGCACAACTAAAGAACCGGGTTTTCCTCTGAAAACGTTTTCCAACTAAATATGAAGAAACAATTTGACATCTACGATGTACTTCAGTTTATCAATCTGAATTAAAGAAATAATAGCCCAAATACAACCCACACTCCCTACAGCCCCTTTGAACTGCTCATTTAAAATTCTAAAGTAAATTAAGAAAGACTAGGAACTGAGCACCACAATGAAAAAAGAAGTTTAGAAAAAAAGGACATACATGCTGCAATTGGAAAAAGAAGTACAGTTTATACATTATATAAGCCGTCAAATGCTTCTTCTTCCCTTGATATAAAACAAACTCTTTTGGAACTTACGAAGAGGTACACAAGACACTGAAACTTCAAAAGCTATGAAAATTCAGCAGCTATTAAGCAACAGGAATCCATGGATAAAATAAAAAAGAGAATGCTACTCCATCAAGTATTATCCAAGCTTTTACTGCAGCAAACCAACAAAAGTATGTTCATCATTTATTCTAAAACACACAATTATCCAAAAAATATTAAGGAAGAAACACAGCAAAGTATTTTTCAAATATTCTCTCACCAAAAAGTAGTTCCATATATTTGCCTAGTATCAGCAAGAAACTCTTCACTTCTCACTTTTAATTTTGCCATCTCCTATGTCTGAAAAATATTCACAGGTGTACTAGTACATTTGGCATCCTAAAGCCTCAAGAATAAATTTTGATACTGAAACAACATTATTTTAAAATCAAAGGGTTTAATGCCACTCCTCTTTTCACAGGATCATCCCATGTATAAGAGCAGTTACCTTAGAAGGGAACGTGATTGAAGCCAAAGGAATCATTAACATCAGCAAAATTACCTTCAATGTCTTCAGGGGAGCTTAGGCTTTAATCTTGTTGTTGATGTTTTCACTATAGCCAGTGTTCAAATGTTTACATTACTCATTTAGCTGTTTTAAACATTAGTCAAACCGAAACAGTCCAACAGTGCAACCTCCAGACTAAGCAGCAGCTTTTACAAGGCAACAGAATTCAAGAAGTTGTTTGTAATTTCTCTGTTTGGTATTAGTAGTTTTTAGACAACAGCTAAAAAGAAAAATAAGTTATTTTTTACTACAGACAAATTGTGGACAAGAATTTAGGCTACAGGAGAAGCAGAGACAGGACAACCCACCCATCCCACCACACTGACCAAATCTGACACTGGAAGATGCCCCACTTTGGAGCAGATGTTGCTGCACCAACTTCATAAAACTGGTGAAAGTTCTTCTCAATGCTACAGTAATCAACCAGAGTTTTCAGCTTAACACATAAAAAAAAATAAAAAACAAAAAACCTGTAAAACTTCCTTCAAGCTTGTATGTGCAGTACCTACTAGAGGAATGCAAATCTTTCTTCCTTTAAACAGCAACAATATTTTCCAGCCTTCACAACAAGGCAGACTTGATTATTTTCAGTCTTACTCCCACCCTAGGGCAAAGATTAGATGCATGTGAACACTTTGTACTTAGCATCAGTCTTCAGAAAAACGCCTCAGAAATCAATGTTTAATAAAAGATGCCAAATAATTATCGCTCAGTTTAACAGTGTTCAAAGCCATGAGATTATGTTGTGCATTAAGGATGTGTAAGTATCTTATCTGGCTGCTACCTGGGAAGTCACTCTCCACAGTCCTTAAGTAAAGTTTATTGCTTCAGGAGTGCCAGAACAAGGCACCTTATTCCCAGACCTCTGCCTTTAAAACAGGTTGGGATGGCTGTGCCACTGCCTCCAGCCTCCTGGTGTAACAGGAGATTGCTGACAAACTGGGAGACAGACTGGGAATTAGCAATGGTGGGATGGAGTGTGCATGCTAAGCCATGCCTAATGTGACACACCCTTCACTGGGGGCTCCCAGACCATGCCTACAGCCTCAAGAACCAATGTGATTTATCCCTAGATTTAAAAGCAGAACACTGAGAGGCCAAGTGCTATCTCTCAGCACCTGACAGAGGACAAGTGACATGACAGATATTTAAATCACCCCCTGCTGAAAAGATCCAAGAGGCAAAGACATATCCAGACAACCAATTTCTTCCGTTTTGGTGATGAGAGGCAACTTGACTGCAGTACTGCCCTGACATGAAGATAGAACAGGAGAAGAGGGTGCTGTAACTTCAGTAGAAAGAGTTCACCAAGGTAAAATGTACAAGCTGGAATCATGAACAAGGCTTAATACAGTCACTGACTGTGCAGATTTCACACAGTATCAGAATGGTTTGGGTTGGAAGAGACCTTAAAGACCATCTTGTTCCAGCCCCTGCAACCAGTAAGAGATATCTTCCAGTGCAGGGACACCTTCCAATATCCCAGACAACTCCAAGCTCTGTCCAATGTGGCCTTGAACACTTCAGGGATGGGACAGCCACAGTTTCTCTGGGTAACCTGTATCAGGGCCTCTTCACCCTCAGAGCCAAGAATTCCTTCCCAATATCCCATCTAATGCTGCCCTTTGTCAATGGGAAACCATTCCTCCTTCTTCACTCCAGGCCCTTGTCCAAAGTCCCTCCAGCTCTCTTGGAGCTCCTTCAGGCCCTGGAAAGGCCTCTAAGGTGCCCCTAAAGTCTTCCCTCCTCCAGGTGAACACCCCAGCTCTCCCAGCCTGTCTCCAGAGCAGGGGCTCCAGCCCTTGGAGCACCTCCAGGCCTCCCCTTGGACCCACTCTAACAGGCCCACGTCTTTCTTGTGCTGAGGACCCCAAACCTGGACACAGCACTCCAGGTGGAGTCCCATGAGGACAGAGGGGGAATTTTGGGCTTATCCTTTGACTCTCAATGCCAACCATTCTCCAGCAACCTGCGTCTCACCAATAGCTGCCCCCTTGGGAGATACAGCACAAACTGCATCTGCTGGGCACAAAATGCCAGAAAGCACAAACTACATCGGGTGAAAACAAAAATCATGGATTGCACAAGTGCAGCACCAACAGCCTTTTTTACCAGGCTTAATATAATTTTTTAAATATATGTAGAAGAGCTTTAGAGCTCTTTATTCCTTTAGCTTTAACTTGCACCTAACAGGAACTCCATGCACAGAGAAGTAAAAAGGCTGTGAAAGAAACCTGAATCATGCTGTTTTCCCAACAAAGGATTGGGTTTGCTGGAAAACATATTTCCAGGTCGACTGTTTTCTTGCTGCTTCTCTATGGATATTCATTTTGTGCTCTGGGCAGAGCTGGAGACTGCAGA